AATGTAATAGAGAAACCAAATTGGTTGGAATGTAAGAATAATAGACAACATAATTGTTTTCTGGAATTGAAGTTTATGCCAAAATATATGAGATCTTCACATTTGTTGCCTTCTCTTGAAATCCAACTGAATCTGAGATTTTCCAATCTTGAGCACCACATCTTCATTTCTCCTATCCAGTTTAAAACAATGATTTTAATCATTTTATCTTGAAGTCCAGTAAAACCTCTATAAATTAATATTGTTGGGACCAAGATATTTTATTAATTTATAGTAAAATTAATTTATCTAATGTAAACTAATAATTATTAATTTATAGTGGTATTTTTAATTTTCAAATATTTTAAAAATATGAATTGACACAATTTTACAAAAATAAGACTAATCTTTTAGATATTATAAATTAGACAGTAGTTTGAAAATAAATATTATATTTTTTTTAAAAGAGATTTGACTAAAAACATCAAAATTATTGATAAATTCACTTACAAATGATATACATAAATTCAAATGTATTTTAATAACCTCAATTGTTATATTTTCACATCTTATATGTAAAATGAATATTATGTAAATTTAAAAATTGAAAACGTAAGTCTAATTTGATTATTTTTATGGCCTGTGATGGTATATATTACAAAATTATTTTTTAAAAATATACTAAAATAAAATTATTTATTGAGGTGAACTCTAGGAGAAATTTTATGAGATATTGATACCAATAACCTTTTTATAATACCCTTTTTTAAAAATACCCTCTTTTTTTACCATTTTCATTTTTGCCCTCTCTTAATTTTTAATGGCTATTTTACCCCTATTTGAAAGAATATTCTTTCACAAGAGAAGGAATATTCCTTAAAAAAATTTTCCCCCCAAAAATTTCCCGCCAAAAAAGTTTCCGAGAAAAAATTTTACCGCCAAAAAATTTCCCGCAAAAAAAAATTATTTTTTCAAAATTTTCCCGCCAAATTTTTTTAAAGGGTTTACAAGATTTTTTAAAGGGGCTTTTAAAGGGTTTATAAGAGTTTTTAAAGGGATTTACAAGAGTTTTTAAAGGGATTTACAAGAGTTTTTAAATGGTTTTTAAAAGATTTGTAATGGTTTTTAAAGAGTTTTATAAGACTACAAAGGTTTTTAAATGGTTTTTAAATGATTTACAATGGTTTTTAAAAGTTTTTATAAGTTTATAACATTTTTAAAAGGATTTACAAGAATTTTTAAAGGATTTTAAAAAATTACAAGGATTTTTCAAGGTTTTTTAAAAGGATTTAGAAGTGTTTTTAAAAGGATTTAAAAGTATATTTAAAGGCATACAAAGATTTAAAAATAGTTTTAAAGGATTTAAAAGAAGTTTTAAAGGGTTTTAGAAGTTTACAAAGGTTTTTGAAGGGTTTACAAAAGTTTTTAAATGTATTACAAGTTCTTTAAAATGGGTTTTAAGGATTTACAAGGGTTTTTAACGGGTTTTATAAGCTTACAAAAGTTTTTATTAAATGATTTATCACGGTTATAAGTGGTTTAAAGGGATTTACAAGTGTTTATAAATGTTATAAAATGATTTACAATGGTTTTAAAAGGTTTACTCAAGTTTTGAAAGGTTTTGAATGACTTTTAAAAGATTTACAAGGGTTTTTAAAGGATTTTTTAAGGGATTTATAAATATTTACAAGGTTTTTTTAAGAAATTGCGAAAAAATTTTGGCTGAAACTTTTTGGCGGGAAAATTTTTGGCGGGAAATTTTTTGCCGAAATATTTTTGGCTGGAAAATTTTTTGTCGAAAATTTTTGGCGGGAAAATTTTCGGATATTCCTTTTTCATCATGGGTTATAATAAAAGAGGGTAATTTAGTCATTTTGTATATTGAAGAGGGTATTATTGAAAATGAATAACTAGAGAGGGTATTTGTAGAAAAGGGTATCATAATAAAGGTTAGTTGTGCAAATCTCCCAAATTTTATTTTTACAAAAAAATAAAATATACATTAATATATCTACAAATACATTAATATATTTACTTATATATAAATATATGTGTATATATAATGATTATTAATTTATGATATTATTGGGACTATATTTTGTAAGGGAATTTCAAAAAAATTATTATCTTATCGAATTTGGTTAATTTTTACATTGGCACGACTTGGGACCAGCAAAATTTATTAATTTATAATGTTTATTAATTTATATAGTATTAATTTATAGAGGTTTTACTGTAACTTGTTTCATTTGAAGCAAATTGTAACGATGTGTAAGTAAGTTAATCGTTAAAACAGAGAAGTTAAGTGGGCCGAACATAGACAGGCCCATTTTTAAAAATAAATATTTGGGTCTTTATAGACTTTATTACATTATAGATATGATGGGTACTTTACTTAGGCCCCAAGTTACATATTCTCTCAAATTTCAGTTAAAGGCGTCGCAACGGCGGCGGATATTTCCGTTGCTGACCGTTTTCACGCCGACCCTTCCCAACTTAATCATTGAGCGTGCAAAGGCTCTGTGGAACAATTGACCATCAGTCGCGAGTTCTTCAACAAATGGCTTTGAGCGCGGGTCGGTGTAGAGAGCCTGGTCCGACTCAAAAACGCCTTTCAGCTCTTTCAGATTTCGATAATATGCATTATCAAACACATTCGAAGAGTTCGGGACCATGAAAACGAACTTGTTGCGGTCAACGTCTTTTGGGCATGCTTTTCTAAGATTTGATGCATATACTGGATCGATCGGCATCGTCGAGTCTTCGCCATATAGCCTGTGTGAAATACTGGTACAGTGGGCCACTCCCACCCTGTGGGACCCTACCCAAAAAAAAAACGTGAGAGAGTAGTGTAATCAACTTAAGAGAACGTTAAAGGAGAACGATAGGTTAAGAGTTACTAAACCTAAAACTCCAACAAGATCGAACCTAAAATCAATATGAAATAATTACGTTTAATTTCTAAAAATCTATTACCGAGTCAATTTTTTATTATAATTTTTTTTTTTTTTTATTTTGTTAAAAATAAAAGGCATTTGAGAAAAATAAAGTTCTACAGCCGAGTAAAATCTTTCCTACCTGAAAGAACTATGATATCATCGACGTCTAGTCCCTTTTTTGCGAAGAGAGCAGTCAGGTTGTTGACGTCGTCCGTCGGCAGTGGCAAATTCCCTTCCACGCTATCGGCTGTCGAGGTTACACCATCGTACCTTCCCAGTTCAACTTCGTAATAGGGTCCGCCCATCTATATTAAAATCAAATTAAATATTTAATATATATGAAGTTATGAGTTAAATTTTTCTTCAGGATCGGATATCGGTATGCGTTGTGAGTTACTAACAAGATAAATGGCGTCCCGAGTGGCCATCGTCAGGATATCGGCGCAAGAGACTTTATAACGGCAGTTAGAAACGGCATCCACGGCCTTCTTAGCTTTTATTACCGTGTCAAACCCGTCTCCGGCCAACGATAAATTTTCCTCGTGGTCCTTCTCAGCTTTGTTCTGTTTTGTTGAGGCTATCATTATCGACGCATCACATCCCTAGGGTTTAGTCAATTAATCCATTAATAGACAAAATAATTATATATACAGTTAATTAAGCAAGAACGAAGAAAGATTGAAAACAAAATGAAGAAGAAAAAATGTTTAATGTACATTCACGAAACAATCATGAAAGTATAATCTAAGGGTTGCGGGAATCGTGATGAACGTTTCCTTCGCTTTCTTCTCAACCGCTTCTCTGACCATCTCTTCGACGTCCGGACAAATATTGGCGTAAAAGTTTCGGCTGAGAGCCTTTGAGGGGCTTATGGTGGTGAAGATAGCGATCACAAAAAGAAACAATAATGATTTTAGCATCGAGGCCATTTGTTTTTAATTATATTGTTGCATAAGTGTTATGATCATTATAGTACATGAATCCATTCATATTTATAGACATATAAATTTACCTTACCATTTTTTAACGGCGCGTGAGTGAGCAGAGCAACCAAGATATACGTGTTCTTTTTTTTTTTTAGGATATATATGTACGTGTTATACACCCTATAACTTTATTGTACTGTGTTAGTCGAATGGTTAATATATAAGTAGCAATTAATGGCACACGACATATGATATACGTAATACGTATAACCAATCTCTACATACCAACACCATTACACATATCAACTATGTACAACATTATACAATTATGTTGTTTACTTATATGATTTTGCTTAGTAAATGTGTTAACTGTCTATTATATTAATTCTGTAATACATGCATGCATGTTTTCAATGATAGGATCGATCCTTCGAGAACTTAAAGGTTGTCAACATTTGAGAATTCCTATTATTAAAATGTAAAGCACAATTATCAAGAGACAAGAGTTTTACTTATTTTTAGAAGACTCGTAACGAGTAACGACCGAAACACAATACAGTAAAAATTATCATTGAATCGGAAATAACACGAATTCTTTAGACTTTGGTTTATATTACTCGTAGTAAGAGAATTTTTCACTAATCAAGGAAGATAAACACAAAATGGAAAATTTTGCATTATTTGTGTAAAACTAATTAAACTTTAAGTTGAACTTCAACCGTTGAAAGACATTTACTTAAGAGTTTTAGAAATCTATGAGTTAGACTATGACCATTTCAACCAAACAAAGGACTGGTAGGTATGACACACACACAAAAAAAATTTGAAATGATAGAGAAAGTGTTTCTCAAGAAATTAATAATATTAGAATTAAGCAATATCTAAATGCAGAACGTAACGCACAATTTTTTGTTTAGTTGTGCATTTGACGATTAATATTAGATATAAAGTAATTTGTTACTATTTGAAGATGTGAAATAAACGAAAATAATTAAGCGACTTATTATATACATATATAGGTCTGATGAATTAAATGAGATGGTTCCGACTGAAGATAATATCTTGGCTGAAATAATAAATGCCCAACTAACTTTAATGGTCACTATCGAAAACATAATAGGGAATAAGAATGGAAAGTTAGAAAATCAAATCTATTGACTACTCTCTTTCTGCATTACCCCAAAATCCCAACTCTCTGCATGAGAATATTTTCGGCATACGTCAAAAAAAAAAAAAAAATAAAAAATAAAAGACATTACACACAGCGAAAAAACGTAATGATGTAGGAGTAAAAAAAATTCCACACAAGTTAGCTGTGTGACCTAAACCTCAACACCAAACCTACAAATCGGTGTCGCTTTTGCTAACGGATCAGAAGAGAAACAAGTTTTGGGCCAAGTGATTCAAAATGAATCGATTTAACTCACACTTAACGTATTATCTCACTTGGACTAATCATATATGATGTATTCCTTGATAAATATCATATAATGTTTCTTATTTCCTTCAAAAAAATTTGTTCTCACTTATAATATTACCATTTAGGTTTTGGCGTTTTGCGATAAACTGAAACCAAAAACCAAGATTTAATTATTACTACTTAGCTGAACAAGCTTCGTAAAACAAACAACGAAGTTTTGCGACGGAGTTGAGCTGAGGCGAGGTTGAGTGTTAGAAAAAGAGAGAGAAGAAGCAACGAGAGATTCGTTTTATTCACCAAAGCCATGTTTTAAAATTATTTTTACTCTTAATATGTATGGACTGAGAGATCTTTATATATAAGTGTACAAGTAGCACCGGCCAGCTTGCATTCACTATATTTTTTTTTTTTTTTAAAAAGACTAATAAATACTTTCTAAGTTTTGGCATCATTTGATGGTTTTTTTCTAACGACTGATTTTGAAGTATAATAGTTTTTTTTGGTTAGTTTAAAATATTTGATTAGTAGAATTTAATTAATACATTTTTTTAATGCAACTATTTTTTTTTTTGTATTTAAAGAGTTCTTAAATGAACTGATCCGTTTTTGGTTTGTTGTAAATATCATACTATATATTGTTCTCTATCAATGTTGTGTGCGTATAGAGAGGGATAGTCTATATGAGGGAATAGAGATAGTGGTGGGGATAAATTGAGAGGGATACATGCATAAGTTGATAACGATGCTTCACTTGTCATTCCGAATAATTGTGTTATAGCCACCTTGTATCTTTCTGAAATCTCAACTACTACTCCTGACTATTTTACTTTTTTCGTTCATATATTAGTTAACTAGTCTTATTAACTACGACAACCTTAAGTCTAACAAGTAATCCCCAAAGTGATAGAACGACATCATATAGATATAGGTCTCGTATCTTTTTTCACCAACCATACAATTTTACAAAAGACCGTTTTGTGACAATTTATTTTATGAAGGATATACAACTGAATGGAGGAAATAAATATATTATAAAACATATATATATATATTTTCAGATCAATTGAAAGCGCCACAATCACGACGGATATTACCATCACTGCCGGTTTTGACACCAACACGACCAAGCTTGATCATGGAGTTAACAAAAGCTTGGTTAAACAGCTGTGCATTACTAGCCCATAAGTCAACGGTTGGCTTTGACCGACGATCCGTGAATAAGACTTGATCAGACGTGAACAATCCTTTTCCTTGCTGCAAGTTCTTGTAGTAAACGTTGTCGAACTGTCTTGGTGTTGGATCTATGTTTATAACTACATTTGGATCTATGTCTTGAGGACACGACCTTTTTAGCTCTGTCACGAACTCTTTGTTGATTGTGGGATCCACTTTAGTTGTCTTGTTGAAACTGTATATCCGATTGAACACTTTGGTGCAATGCGCGAATCCTAAACCAAAGTAACCAAGAACCTGAAAATGTATTAGTGAATAGATGAGTGGGTATCTAAGATGTCACATCGTGTAATAACAGAAATTAAACATAACACATATAAATCCTAATCAAAATCGGGTATATAGTTCAAGCTAAACCGAGATAATATCAATTTTAAGTCACTGCTAACTAAGTTTTGTCCAAAAGATAGTAATGTTAAAAAAAACAAAAATGTACAATATATTCTTGATCGAGAAGTAGTTCAACACTTGCCAGAGAGAGCGATCATGTCGTTAAGGCTAAGGCCATTTTTGGCAAAAAGCGAAGTGAGTTGGTTGACACCGGCCGTCGGATGCGGCAAATTCCCTTCGACACTAGCGGCCGTCGACGATAGACCATCTAGCCTTCCCAATTCCACGTCGTATTTTGGTCCACCCGCCTATATTTTTGAATTTAAATTAGTAACTTACAAGAATGTTTTAGTTTAAGAAAACATTATATTATATAATAAAATGTAAGTCTGAGTAACTAACAATATTGACAACGTCACGAGTGGCCATCGTGAGTATATCGGCGCAAGAAACTTTGTTACGACAATTTGGGACGGCATCGAGAGCTTCTTTAGCTTTATTGACGGTGTCAAATCCATCTCCGGCTAACGATATATTGTCCTCATGATCCCTCTCTGCCTTATTACTATCAGTCGACGCTATCATCACTGATGCATCACATCCCTATAAATCCATAAATTATATAAAATAATGAGATAAATTTACGCAGGAGAAGAAAATTATCAAGAAAAGTATATGTTTTACATTGACGAAGCAATCATGGAAATATAGGCGTAGAGTGGCGGGAATGGTGATGATACTTTGCTGAGCTTTTTTCTGAACGGCGTTTCTGACAATTTGTTCGACGTTAGGGCAACTTCCCGCGTAGAAGTTGCGGCGGAGTTGAGCGGAGGCGAGGTTGAAGGTTAGAAAAAGAGAGAGAAGAAGTAACGAGAGATTCGTTTTGTACACCAAAGCCATATTTTTAAATTATCTTCACTCAATGGAGAGAGTTCATCGTTATATAGGGCTTCAAGTCTCCTCACAAGTCCACTCTTCTATCTTCGCGGGATCATATATATATAAGCTTTTGTGTGGTGTTGCACAAGCTAAGTAGCTTTCTAAGTTTTGGCATCGTTTGATTTAGCCCTGGGCGTTCGGATTTTCGGATCGGATCGGATCGGATTATTCGGAGTTCGGATTTTCGGATTGGGATATATAGAATCCGATTTGAATCCGACTGGTTTTCGGATCGGATCGGTTCGGATTTTTTCGGATTCGGATCGGTTTTCAAATTTTATTACAAATCCGAGTTTAAACCGAATCATATTTCGGATCGGTTTCGGATTCGTATTCTACACTATAAATCCGAAACTTACACTCTAAATCCGAACAATCCGACGTAAAAAAGAGGTTTGAGCGTTGAAGTACAAAAACATAGAGATTATATGTATACTATGTGATGTATTAGACCATGTGTATTCGGGTTAGCAGATAACCGATCGGATTTCGGTTCGGATCGGTTTAAATCCGAAATCCGAATCATGTTCAACATAAAATCCGATCGGTTTTTACATAGTAACCGAAACCGATCCAAATCGGATTTTTCGGATCGGTTCGGATCGGTTTTTTCGGATCCGGATTATATGCCCAGGGCTAGTTTGATTGTTTTTCTAAGGAATGATTTTAAATGAATGGATCCCTTTTTATAGTTTTGGTGTAAGTATCATAATATATGTATTGTTCTCTACCAGTGTAATGTGCGTATGATCACAAAAGATAATCAATATGAGGGAATGGAAGAAGGTGGTGGGGATAAATTGAGAGGGTTACATAAGTTGATAACGATGCTTAATTAACTTGTCATTCTGAATAATGGTTTTCCTTTGCTTAAGGGCTGGTTTACGTTATTTCTGAAAAGCTAATGATTTAATTATATATATATGTAAAGATTTTAATCTTTGGTAAGATGATAATTATTGATATAGACGTTTAAGCGTTCTCGTTTTCATGCTTCTGTAGTTGACGAGAATAATTCAAAAAAGAGGTGCTGCTACTACTACCACTCAGTCTACTCCATATGTGCATGCAACTAAAGGCGATCACGTTTCTTTCTGTTATTTGTCATTTTATTTTATAATTTTCCTTAAGAAAGCATGAAAAGTTATTCTAATCGATTTATTTTTATATTCGCGTGATTTGATTTAGAAACGATCTCTCTCTTTTTTATTCGTACGTTCGAAATGACGACAAAAAAAAAAAAAAAAAAAAAAAAAAAAAAATTCGTACGTTCGAAACAAATGGTTGAATAATCGCCTCTCACGAATATTCGTTTAGCCCAAAAAAAAACAAGTAATCACAGTGAAGACAAGAGGAAGGAACTGATCAGAAGACAACAATAATAATAATGTTCATTCTGGATATAGAAGTTAAACAAGTAAGGCCATAATTAGCTAATTATTTCAATTTTATCAATGCCTTTATATGTGCATGTAGCATTTTTTCTGCTAAAAGGCATGCACGTTGTCTTTAAATAATTAATCTACATGTTGTGTCGTACAACATTATATTAAATATAAATATACTATAGTATATAAGCCCAAAACACAATATACAAATATAAATTGACTTTGAGTTTCCTTTTTCCTAATGATCCATCCTACATTACAAAAAAAACAGATTACATGTCTTACGGGTCATGCTATATATCGTTGGGCTTTTAATGGGCTTTAAAGGCCTCAAACCATGATCCAGAAACAAAAATCTCCCCGACACGACCTTATCCATGGAGCTCTGCAATCTTCTTTGCCAAATCTTTCTACTGTTACTGCAAAAATCGTGTCTTTGCGCGAGCAGAAGCGCTCTCGACTCGAGAATTTGATGATTTGAGTCTTCAATTTTTGTTAGATAAGAGTCTAAAAAAGCAATGGAGCTTTGTTCTTCGTCTTCATCTTCTTCTCTCCTTCGCATTTGTTCATCTTCAGCACCTGAAATCTCATTTTCTTCTTCAATTTCTCAGTTCCCATCTAAAACCCAACTAACCGCATCGATTCTCACAAAACCCAGATTCCAAAATCTCCGAATTTGCGCTTCCGTGACGGCTGAGACTCAAGGTCTTCCACGAGACAGCCCTCAACGTCTTCTCAAGGAGCTAGCGCAGCGTAAAACCGCGACAGGACCGAAGAAGAAAGTTCCTCCGAAACGATTCATCTTAAGGCCGCCATTAGACGACAAGAAATTAGCTGAGAGATTCCTCAATAGTCCACAATTGTCTCTCAAGTCGTTTCCTTTGCTCAGCTCTTGCCTCCCATCGTCAAAGCTTAACAACGCTGATAAAACTTGGATTGATGAGTATCTTCTTGAAGTTAAACAAGCTTTAGGGTATTCTCTGGAGCCTTCGGAGAGCTTAGGAGATGATAATCCTGCGAAGCACTTTGATACGTTGCTCTATCTTGCTTTCCAGCATCCGTCGTGTGACAGGGCACGTGCGAGACATGTCAAGAATGGGCACTCCAGGCTTTGGTTTCTGGGTCAGTATGTGCTTGAGCTTGCTCTTACGGAGTTTTTCTTACAGAGGTATCCTAGAGAGTCTCCAGGGCCTATGAGGGAGAGAGCGTTTGCTTTGATTGGGAAGAGGTATCTTCCAAAGTGGATTAAAGCAGCGAGCTTGCAAAATCTCATCTTTCCTTATGATGATATGGATAAGTTGATTAGAAAAGAGCGTGAGCCTCCGGTTAAGTAAGTTTCTCTCTTCTTTCTTTCTCATTGTATGTGCTTGGATGATGATGATGATTTCAGTTGAGTTATACAACAGTTTCTTTTGCTTTGAGCTGAGACTGGAGCTTTAATGTGTTAGAAAAATGATATAAGTAGTAGTAGGAACTAGTATATGATGTCCCATCCTCTCAAGTACTTATGTGGATATTACATTCTATGTTTAGATAAGCCTTAAGTCTCACCATGAGTTTGATATCTTACTTGTTGTACCATTGCCAAATTTCACTTTATATAAGCTTTGAATCCTCCAAAGGGGACTTAAACTAGCTGTTTATTTAGTTAGCTGATGAAAGTTTTCTCATCTTGGATAGGATCGATCTGTCTTATCTGTTGCAGTGTGTCGTCATTTGTTGTCTAATATATGATAAACTGAAGTTCCAGCACTGAAATGGGCTGTGTGATAGCTGGTGCTAGATATCTAGCTCAGGCTTACCATCTGATTGAATTAAATGACTGAAGATTTGATGAGTCTGTGCATCCCAATATCTCATAAGTGACATGTACTTTATCCATGTTAATTTTATTTGTTCTGGCTAGATCTGTGTTCTGGGCTTTGTTTGGTGCCATCTATCTATGCTATGGGATGCCGGAAGTGTATCGTGTACTTTTTGAGGTGTTTGGGATGGACCCAGATGCTGACGAATGTCAGCCTCGAAGCAGGAGACAGCTCGAGGATGTAGATTATGTTTCTGTTGAATTTGAAGGCAAAAAGCTAAATTGGCAAGATATTGCTACTTACAAGGTAATAATATAAGTGATCAAGCTACAAATTCACAATTAACTTCTTTGGTTTATCGAAGAAGATTGATCCTTTATTTTGTTTTCTGTTTCTTCAGCCTCCTGAAGATGCTCTATTCGCACACCCGAGGCTATTCAGAGCTTGTGTTCCACCAGGAATGCATCGTTTCAGAGGGAACATATGGGATTTTGACAGCAAACCCAAAGTTATGCAGACCCTCGGATACCCTTTACAGATGAATGATAGAATCAAGGAGATAACCGAAGCAAGAAACATCGAACTTGGACTCGGTTTACAGGTACAAAATCTGTTACTCCTGGCTTTGTCATGCATTATGTTACTTCCCTTCTCTAACCCTGTTTCACTTACCTGAAATCATACAGCTCTGCTTCTTGCATCCTTCAAAACACAAGTTTGAACACCCGCGGTTTTGTTTTGAGCGGCTAGAATACGTAGGACAGAAGATACAGGTGAGAACAACGACCCCTCATATCAAAAGATGAAAATGATGGGGTTTGTTTTGTTTGACCTGGTTTTTCATCATGGGATCATGCAGGATATAGCAATGGCAGAACGTTTGTTAATGAAGCACTTGGACGCACCAGGGAAGTGGTTGCAAGAGAAGCATCGACGTCTATTAATGAACAAATTCTGTGGACGGTATCTTAGAGAAAAACGACTTCACAACTTTATAATATACTCAGAGGAGGTTCATGATCGGTATGAACACAACCGAAGACTAAGGAATCCGGCAACAACCGCTGTTCAACAAGCCATTCATGGTCTCGCCTACACCATCTATGGAAAACCCGATGTTCGGCGGCTCATGTTTGAGGTTTTCGACTTCGAACAAATCCAACCTAAAGCTATCTGAAAACCAAAGTCCCTCTCTCATTTGTCTTAAATCTTAATGTCTTTTAGTTTGCTTCCGGATATAATTTCTGTAGTTAAAACTTATTTACCTTGAAAGTTTGATAAGGCTTCAAACATAAATGATACCAAACTCTGTTTATTTATACTTTTTGCAAAATCCAACATGGCAGTATAAACAAACACAAGCTCTTTTATGTTACCACTACAGCTACAATTACAAATTCAAGCAAAAGATCCCTTAATGTTTTACTTTTGATGTTGTACATCCGTGACACTGAACATTATATCACAAACAAAACATTCAAATTCAGACATCAATCTACCTGCTAGGATCTAGCTAAGGTTCCTTCTCCCATCTCTTATATGTTGAATTAACTAGAGGAGAAATCAAACCTTCGAGTTTAATGGGCTTTTAGATGGGCTTTCAGATATTTTTTTAAAAAAAGATTGACCATAAACTATTGAAATAAAAAAAAGAATCAAACCGTTATAAAAATTTGAAAAACTCATTTTGTTTTAATTTGGTTTATTCTTTAAAACTGCTCATCTTCTTCAAGAAGCCTCCTTTATACAAGGGACCCTTTTCTCTACTACAGATTTTAATCTGAGACTGAGAGATAGCGAAGGCATAGATGATGACGTCTCGATCGATTGTTCCTCAACAATCCCTGGGTAAGAAAGTTCTTTGATTTTCATTCTTTTTAGGGTTAACCAAAAAAAACTGATTTGGTTTTAGTGACTCATCATCATCCATGATCTTCGATTTTGATTTCCGTTTCTTCCATCTGGGTTTTGTTCGTTTCTATTGTTTCGTGCTGTTCTTGTTATATCTACGAACAAGGAAACGAAACTGTTTCGAAATCAATTATAAAGTCCGTGGCTCTTTTTAGAAAAATATTATTAATTTAATATGGGTGATTGTTGAAGATTGAATCTAAAGTTGTAAACTTTCGTGTTTTGTTGTGTCGAAGGCGATGTTGTAGTGGAAGATGGCAAAAACGTAGCGAAAGGAAGAAACCGTCAAGTTCTTGGTGATATCGGTAATGTTGTTCGAGGAAATTACCCAAAGAACGAGCCGGCAAAGGTCAATCATCGTCCTCGTACACGGTCTCAGCATCCCGCTCTTCTTGTGGATGAGAATCTTAAAGTTTGTTCCTTTTCCCTGTTTTTTGATAAACCATTATGTTTCTTCGTTAGTTTTGATATGCTCATGTTATACGTATAATTGTTTTGACCTGCAGAAACCTGTAGTCAAGAGAGTCGCAGTACCAAAGCCAAAGAAGGTAGCTGGGAAGTCAAAGGCTGTAGAAGTGATTGAGATAAGCTCAGACAGTGATGATGAACATAGTTTAGTTGTTGTCCAAGAGAAAAAAGCCACTAAGAAGAAATCAACCACATACACATCTGTTCTTACCGCTAGAAGCAAGGTAAAAATTGTACTTGTGAATAGATGATTCTTGGTTTGAAGTAAGAAGATGTTTTGGTCTGTTCTGAATTTATCTCTTTCTTTTGCTTTTCAGGCTGCTTGTGGTTTAGAGAAGAAACAGAAAGAAAAGATTGTTGATATCGATTCTGTTGATGCTAAGAATGACCTTGCAGCTGTGGAGTATGTGGAAGATATCTACCGTTTCTACAAGTCTGTTGAGGTTAGTTTACTATGCATGAATCATGAATCTTTCCTTTTCAGCATTATGGTGTGAACTTTTTTATTCAAATTCATCATTTGGATTGGCAGAATGAATGGAGACCAAGCGATTACATGCATTCACAACCTGAGATTAACGAAAAGATGAGATTGATTCTGGTGGAGTGGTTGATAGATGTACACGTCCGGTTCGAGCTAAACCCAGAGACATTTTACCTCACTGTTAACATTCTGGATCGATTCTTGTCGGTTAAGCCAGTACCTAGAAAAGAATTGCAGCTTGTTGGTCTCAGTGCTCTTCTCATGTCATCTAAATATGAAGAAATCTGGCCACCACAGGTGATAATAACAGAGAACTCCTGGATCATTTATTTGATGGATAGCTTCTGATTTTGATTCTTCTTGTCATCAGCTTCTGAATTTTAAATTCTTTTGCAGGTGGGGGACCTAGCTGATATTGCGGACCATGCATATAGTCGCAAACAGATTCTTATGATGGAGAAGACAATACTGTCTACACTCGAGTGGTACTTGACAGTTCCGACCCACTATGTCTTCCTTGCCCGCTTCATCAAAGCTTCCATTGCAGACCAACAGGTAAGACAGCTTTTTTTACAGTCTCTTCCATGGTTTTACATTACATTATAAGTATAGCAATTCAATTTGTCTTTTTGTCTTCAGATGGAAAATATGGTGCACTATTTGGCGGAGTTAAGTGTGATGCATTACGATACAACGATAATGTTCAGTCCATCTGTGGTAGCTGCTTCTGCAATCTACGCAGCAAGATCTGCTCTTCACCAAACTCCCATTTGGACCAACACTCTCAAGCATCACACTGGCTATTCCGAGACTCAGCTCATGTAAAAAACCTCTGTTAATTTCTTCGCATGGGTTTTGTTTATGTGGCTAGATATTGACTCTTTAATATGAAACAGGGACTGTGCAAAGCTATTGGCGTATCAGCAATGGAAGCAACAACAAGAAGGGAGTGAGAGTAAGGGAGCGTTACGAAAGAAGTACTCCAAGGATGAACGCTTTGCTGTTGCTATGATCCCTCCGGCCAAAGCTTTGTTGACCGGAAATGAATCTGCCTAGGAGTTTAGGAAAGGACACTTTAAGAAGAGGAAGAAGCTGAAGAACCAAGTCTGGTTTTATTTTCTATTGAAAATCAAGTCTAGTTTCATTAGATATAATATTTTGTACAAGTCTAATGAGTCACTTTGAATCAAAGTTCTTTAGTACACATGATTTCATTCCACAACACAATGCATTTGTTTCACTATTTCTTATGAGAAGCCAGTTTCTTCTGGTCCCGCCCATCCTGGGTTCAAAACCACCTTCTGGTCTGAGACACCCTCCAAAATCCCCTTAAAACCATTAAACACTCCATCTTTGGAATGTTGACTCTGTTGGCGGAAAGAGAACCCAAACCCACTTGAAATTTACAGATATTGCGGTTGTGTATCTTGAGAGAGACACTAAAGATTAACCTCTTTAAGTTCCAAGGTAGGTAATGCGGTTGTGATCTTTCTCGAAAAGTACGAAGGTTAACCTTTTTAAGTTCCTAGGTCCTTACTTCTAACCAATTTTTTACACCAATCCAATGTTTTAGATAGCCATGCCTCAGTGATCTCCAACACTGACCGTTTCCTTCTCTTTTCATCTTCAAGATCAAGAGTTCGGTACGCTAGTGTAAGCAAGTAGATACCAGGGTGCAGTCTCCTGAAGAAGGAAAAAATAATAAATAAGTCAGGTTACTTCGCAACTAATGCAGAGACCCCCTTGCCCCATCATGCCTTTTAATTACTTTAAAAAGTTCATCGGAAAGAGATGTAAGCAGACTCAAAATGACTTAGGAACAATGTTGTCAAGGCAGATACAAGGATGCAAAAAAACGTTGATCGGAAGTGATTTCTACTGAACAAGTTGTAGCACTCATCCTTTAAGCTATAGCCAGCAGTGCATCATAAGTTGCTTTCTCTTCATATATATAATAAGCTTACCCAGCCAGTGTACTCCCCTCTTCCAGTCCATCCCAGAATCTTTGTGCCAGGACTGTCCGACTCTTTTTATCTTTCCCATAAGTTTCAATATACCATCCTCCGACATCATGCAAACCACAACGAGGCTCAAACAACCAAAACCTGTTTTCACATCCATGTAATTATGGTTTCATGTCACTGAGGTAAGAAGGATAAAGTTATGTTAGAGATCAGTGTCATAACTTCATAAAATCTTTAAAACCAATTACCAAAGATCACTCCTGACTACTTCAGCATTTCAACAAAGCAACTATATTTCAGTGTTCCAGATATCATTTTGTTTAATTGGATTATGCTGAAGATAAAACAGTGACAAGACTGTCTCATCGTAGTTGTTTATGCGATCGAGTTAAATGTGAGCCAGAACTGAAATAAAACAAAAATAATATTTGGCTTACTTGCTTGGTGGTAATTTCGCTCTACTGCATCTACACTCGCAAACGGAAACCTTTTCCCCAATTCTGTACCAGTGCAAATGTCTCACCTGTAGAATGTGAATGACGAAGGTTATTTTATCAAACGACTAACAGAGCTAATATGCATCACACAAAAATTCCCTAAAAAGAGTAACTAAAATAAATGCTAGATCATATGAGCCACAAACCAGAAATGTCCTATGTTTCATTAGCACATGAGTCTTAGCACCATTCCCATCATAGACATAGCATGAGCCTTCATCTGGGCTTGTTCCAAGACCACTTATAGTTCCAACAAGAAGTCTACCACCACTTTCATTTCCCTGATATGATACAGATTCAGGGCCATGACTAGATCCTTCATTTGAGTTGAGGAAAACGTGTATGAGATCGTTATCACCCTCAATTTTATTCTCTTTGCAATACCCTTTTGGGGGAATCCTAATGGCTGTAGCAACAACTCTTCCAGATACATGCAGCTGAATATCTTTATATGCATCCGAAACATGATTTTTATTTCTTGAGGATTGTATATGAGATATCTGAAGACCAATTCTTTCATCAGATTTCATGTCACATTTGCCTTTATCAACTTCTTGACCCAGGTCCGAATCCATAAATGAAGACAAAGCCAACTTCTTGGAGCAATCAAAAGACAGCTCAAGAAAATTATCTACCAAGCAGACCATGCCAAAAAGATCCCGTCCTGACACCAAGTGCAAAACCTCTCGTGTGTCATACACAGACCTTTCCTCAGCTTCAAAACAATCAGGAAGAAGCTCCACAGATTCTACATCAGGCCCAAAGTATGCAGCTCGGATGGCTGAATAAAAATCTTCTTCAAGTTCATCCAAGTAGCCTGTACCATTTGCTACTCTCTTCTCCAATACTATATCATGTATTGCTTCTCTATACCACTTCAGCCACTCAACCACTTCCATCTCTTGACTCAATGTCAATCTTGTTTTATACCTGTGAAGCGTATACCCTTGTGTAGAATGTTTCGTCATCACCATCCTCCGGGATAACAGATATCTATCATAGTGTGCCCTCTTCTCAGAATCTAAAAGAATCTGCATCATATCACTCATCAGAACCTTCACTTAAGCTACAATTATCACAAAGCCTGAAAATTTGAACCTCTTCATTCATCATTCCACCAAAAATGCAATCTAATAGACAAATTCTATGAACCTCATAAGCGGCGAGAATCTGAACGAAACGTATCGAATTGGAAGGATCTTTCTTCGAATCGACCAGGTCAGGATGAGTCTCCTTGGCGAGTCTGCGAAACGATGCTTTGATCTCTGCAATTGAACTGCTGCCGGAGACATTCAAGATATCGTAGGCGTTCTCCACCGGAAACTCGTCCCGATTCGACTTAGCTTCACCGCTCAGCAATCGAGTTCCTCTTCGCGACGGTGCACCGCGTTTGTAATTCAGCGGAGTCGGAACCGATCTGGCAAAACGCCGTCGAATCAATCCGGCGAGAGTCGTCATCTCACCAAGCAGTACTACTACTCAGGTGGGAACAGAGGCCGGGAAGGGGAAAGGGTAACCGCACGCCGACAGCACGTGGGTTTCTCGGTTTCCCGCCACGTCATCACGAGCTAACACTCACTAGTTTGGTCAACGGTAAAAACGGTCTTTACGAATGAGATGAGGCGAATTAACCTAAATGGGCCTTAAAAGTTGTTTAGTGGGCCTTGTTCCTTTCACAGAGATGGACAACTTAAATGATGAGCGAAGTGGATGTGATACGTGGTCGCATATTCACCATGGCTTTGCCTGAATAATAAATGTGTTCTAATTACAAGATAAGTTAATCAGAAAATAATAATATGTGGTTTTTAAAATGCCACATTCATTACAAATTTGTATAAATGCCAAATTTAAACATTGACTTACTATAACAAGATCCTTTATCGAATACAAAAAAAAACATTGATTATAATAAATGAGACTTTTGACTAAGTTAAAAAGAAAAATAACTATTCTGCTTCACATTTGGTACTTTTTTTTGTTAAGTTTACAATAAATGCATGTAATTTTTAACGTGTAATAAAATAATAATCATGCATAGAAAATATTTTGTTCAAACTTCTTGTTCCTTTTTTTTTTTTTTTTGGTAGAAGAGAAGACATTAAGTATGGTGCCCCACATCGACCTAAAACCGTTACACCTCATGTAGTCCACTCAAATTTCCAAAATAAATTGGGCTTCATTCCAAAAACTAAAATCAAAATTGTGTATCACGATTAACGAATCGCGATGTTTTGAGTTTGACAATCCAACAAATATGGTTCCAGCCACCTATAAATCTTGATTTTTCTAAAGAAAGATCCCAGAATTTATTACCTCTCTTCCAAAAAAAAAAAAAGAGATTTTATTTATAAAAGATATACTACTACTACCAAACACTTTTAAATAAGTTCGTCGCAATTCACATTAGCTGATTAAGAGAGAGATATAACAACAAGAAGAATCTTTAGACAGAGAGAGAGAGAGAGTCAGAGGAGAAAAGAAAGAGAGAAAGATGGGTGTGGTCGAGGAAGCTCACAACGTGAAGGTGATTGGTTCAGGAAACCAAGCTACGATCGTGTTAGGTCACGGGTTCGGTACGGACCAGTCAGTGTGGAAACACCTGGTACCACATCTGGTCGATGATTACCGCATCGTGCTTTACGACAACATGGGAGCTGGTACGACAAACCCTGACTACTTCGACTTCGATCGTTACTCAACTCTCGAAGGCTTCTCCTTTGATTTGATTGCCATCTTAGAAGATCTCCAGATTGAGTCTTGTATCTTTGTTGGTCACTCTGTTTCCGCCATGGTTGGTGTCTTGGCTTCTCTTAATCGTCCTGATCTCTTCTCCAAAATCGTCATGATTTCTGCTTCTCCTAGGTAACTTTTTTTACAGAGATTCATCGTCTCTTCTTCTTGATTCATTTACATAATTCAATTATATATTACAATATGTAGTAAAATTCTAATGATCTTAAAATCTACGGAATTATCTCTACTTTTCTAGTATTTGGTGAAGAATATTCATAGAGCCGAGATTTTTGCTTATTTTAAATCTCATTCTGACATAATTTGGACAAAGGCCCTCTCTGTTCCTTCTCTTGTCTGAATTATCCTATTTCTCAACAATAAAGCATTTCATTTTTTTTTTTAGTTTTAATATAAAATCCATAAGTTATTTTTTCCTGACATCATCACAAAATCTATAAGTTTTGATAATGATTTTGTTAGAAAACCTAGAAATACCCGTTTTTGCACACCTTTTCTTTTTATAATTGAGAGCGGTGCTTACATATTAATTTATTCTTCTTCTGACAAAAGAAAACCCTGGAAATATCAATTTACTTTTGTTAATTTAATCAATATATTGGTTTGCTGCGTTTACAAGATACGTGAACGACGTTGATTACCAAGGAGGATTCGAACAAGAAGACTTAAACCAACTCTTCGAAGCGATGGGAAGCAATTACAAAGCTTGGTGCTCAGGTTTCGCACCACTCGCCGTCGGTGGTGACATGGACTCGATCGCCGTTCAAGAATTCAGCAGAACACTCTTCAACATGCGTCCCGACATTGCTCTCTCCCTCGGTCAGACCATCTTCCAAAGCGACATGAGACAAATCTTGCCTTTCGTCTCTGTCCCTTGTCACATCCTCCAAAGTGTTAAGGACTTAGCCGTACCAGTCACCGTCTCGGAGTATCTTCACGCCAATCTTGGATGTGAATCCGTCGTTGAGGTCATTCCTTCTGACGGTCATCTTCCTCAGCTTAGCTCGCCGGATTCTGTAATCCCCGTCGTCCTCCGTCACATTCGTAATGACATTGATTTGTGATTGTGAGAGATTTAGTTAATTTATTAACTAACGGTGTCTAAAAAATGAAAATAAATTTTCTGATGTGATATGTCTGCCTGTCGAGAACATTTGTTTAGTTGTGGTTTGGTTCTGATTCGTTTGTCTTGAATATTTGATCGTTGTTGTTCTTATCTTTTGTTAAAGGAAAAGTCTCTCTGTCTTTTGTCCAGCTTTGCTAGATAGACCTCATTATTGCTCGATGTAATAGTGATGGTCCATAGGAGCATAGTGAATTATTTCGAAGTGTCGTTCTGCTAAAAATGCGTGTAGATGTAATTTACTTGCAAATATTTTTCAGGTTTTTCGACTATGTATCAAGGTTTTAATTGCTACACATGAGAATGAGAACATACGTATGATCTATATATACCAGGGAATATTAGCATTGAGGTCTTGTTGAGATGATCTCCCGGATTTAATTTTCTAGTATGGCGTTCGGTTTGTTTGTTTATGGAATCGTGGATTTGTTTGATGCTATCTTAGTGTCACGGTGCAAAAGATATTGTCTTCTATGTTTTCATTTATCATTAACAATATCCAAATTTTACGGTAGGCGGCGCTGTCTGTTTATATGTTACTCTGTCTGTTTTGTTTATGAAATAAAAACAATTTTTGAAGAATTAGTGATTTAAAAACTATTGTACAAATATCAATTATAGATGATGAAAACAAAAATTCTAATCTGTAATTATCTTTTGGTTTGAGTGAATACACCACACGTAACTTCAAGTTTGTTGTTAAAGTCTTTCCCTTCTTATGCTTGAAAAAAAAAAAAAAATTATTTGGCAAGACTGCTAACTGAACTTAAATTTATTAGGCCTAGCCCACTGTAAAAAGGTAATGATAAGGCCTAGGCCCGTTTACGTATGGGAAAAAAGCTTTAGATACTCACGTGACGAGAAAGTTCACACGTGTGCAACACTTGCCCCAAAATTTGATTACCACCACAACAAGAGACACGGTACCACCACCAGCATCGACCAGTATCATCATCAACATTTCACCATCTTCTCCTCGTCTCCTTCTCTCTCTTCCTCTGTTACTTTTTTACTTTTCTTCCCGTTTCGCTCTCCGTCAAAGTCTTCTCTCTCTTGCCATTTTCCCCACTGTAAATTCCATTTTTACCCCTAAACCCATCGTTCCCCTGAGACACGGCGGCCACGAGGAAGAGGGATACAATAGAGAAAGATAAAACAGGCGATTGATTTTGTCCATCGGAGACGCCGCTCGCTGCTCAGGGAATATGGAGACGGCGACGGCGACATCGGAAAGAGCCGAGTTAGCTAAGCACTGCAGTTCACGGAACTGGTCCAAAGCGATCCGAGTTCTCGATTCGCTCCTTGCTAAGCAGTGTTCAATTTTGGATATATGGTTGGTTTCACGACCTTTGTTCTGTCATCAATTTCTCCGGATCGGTATCATTGATTTACGGCTCTTTTAATCTGAATTTTGTTTTGATTGGGAATTTGGTTTTAGCAATAGAGCCTTTTGCTATAATCAATTGGAGCTTCACAAGCATGTGATTAAGGACTGTGATAAGGCACTTCAGCTTGAGTCTTCTGCCATTCAAGCTTATATACTCAAAGGTTAGTTTACTTCCAAGCTTGTGAGTAGTGCTTCAGAGTATCAAGTGTAACATCTCTGGTAGTGAGTCTTGGCTTTGGAACTATAAGTAGGGGTTTAGTTAATGCCGCTGCCTGCTAGTTATGATGATATCGGTAATCTTATTATAAGCTATGAGCTGCTCTGTTTTTTGTGAACCTAGGGTGAAAATTTCTGTCAAGTTAGCATAGGATGTCAATTGTTACTGAATCATTGTGTGGTGGGGGACATTTTTCTTTGACTAGTATACTTCCCGTGAACTCAAGTGTATCAGCATTTCCATCCAGGGCGTGCTCTTTTGGCTTTGGGGAGAAAACAGGAAGCTGTTCTTGTTTTGGAGCAAGGGTATAAAAGTGCTTTGCAGCAGACAGCAGATGTGAAGGAGTTACTTGAATTAGAAGAGCTCTTAAAAGATGCAAGACGAGAAATTGATTCTACTTTCAAAAATCATGCCTCCGAGCCCCGGCAAGAGACCTCTGCCTCGCCTCAAAGTGAGAAGTCTGATGAAAAAATTGATAAGCTGGACAACCAGAATACTGCTTCTGGAACAAGCATCAATGCCTGCAAAACAACAAGTATTTCAGTATCTGAATCAGGAGCCTGTAGTAATGGGAACTCCGACGAGGCATCCAGGGAATTGGGTGAGCAATCAAAGATAAATAGCATTTCAAAGGATGTATCCAAGGCAAGCAAGCAATCTCGTGGTAGTTCTGACTTATGTAATGGATCATCGTTCAAGGAAAAAGAGAATGGAAAGTGTGGCAGCCAAATTAATGGTTCTTATGAAACATGTAAACCATGTAATGGTTCTGATTTGCATGATAATTTAGCTGAAAGTTCTGATTGGTTAGGGAACGTGACGATTAATGGAAAAAAATTAAGCATTACGTCCGGATTTACTAGCAAATCAAGCCATAAAGCTGAGGTACGTTGTGGAGTTGGTAATGAAACCACGATAAACAAGAAGTACACCATAGCAAGAATATCAGGAAACCATTCTATAAGTGTGGATTTTCGACTTTCTAGAGGCATTGCACAGGTATAGCGATGCACAAAAATTATAAGACAATATTACTTTTTGATGTATCCTAGTGGTATAGTTTCCAAATTCTTGATCACTGAGCTCTTGTGTTGTCAACAGGTGAATGAAGGAAACTATATGAAAGCTATTTCAATTTTTGATAAGGTGATTTTTCATGTACTCCTCTTTAGTGATCTTAATGTCCGTCGTTTCTCTGTTTTACATTCTATTTGGAGGTTGTTTGGCCAAAATGACTGGGTCACATTTTTTACCATTTAGTTTATCTTTGTGCAGGTGCTGAAGGAAGAACCAACCTACCCTGAGGCACTTATAGGAAGAGGGACAGCATATGCATTCCAACGAGAGCTTGAAAGTGCTATAGCTGATTTTACTAAGGTATTCATATATTTGACAAAAGTTGTTACCACTGTGGGTTAAGCTCACCAATTCTTCTCCTATGATGATGATGGTCAGGCTATTCAATCTAACCCAGCAGCAAGTGAAGCTTGGAAGCGGAGAGGACAGGCTCGTGCTGCTCTTGGGGAGTATGCTGAGGTTAGTGGTTCCACGTCTTCCCTGATTCTGTTCTTTGATCAGAGCTAAAAGCATAAACAATAAATGTATTTTATGGGGCTCCTAACGATGTACACATGTGTTGATTGATAAATAATATTGTCTGATTAGTATCCAGTAATTTGGATAAGCCTCTGATTGACGTCTGTGTTTACGCCTGTTTAGTGCTTGCATTTTATGGGTATATTTCCGGAAACGTTTTTTTACAATACTTTTAAGCTATCCTTTGGTGATAGGCGGTTGAAGATTTGACTAAAGCACTGGTATATGAGCCAAACTCACCTGATGTATTGCATGAAAGGGGTAAGTGTCTTTATGCTCTTTTCTCGTTCGATATCTTGTTCCCTACATCAGTTTTCCTTTTTGAATACCTGAATTCCTTAGTGAAAAGCCATAAAGTACCACTGACATTCGCAATCAATTCAGGTATTGTTAATTTCAAATCTAAAGATTTCGCTGCTGCTGTAAAAGACCTATCTATATGTCTGAAGCAAGAGAAAGATAACAAGTCCGCATATACGTATTTGGTAAGACTATATTTTCTCTTGTTATTCTTGGTTTCCAAAGTAACTATGGATGTGAATGTATTCTTAGGAAAACTTTGTTGATCTTTCCAGGGACTAGCATTTGCTTCTCTTGGTGAAATTAGAAAAGCTGAAGAGGCGCATTTGAAGTCCATCCAGTTGGATAGTAATTATCTTGAAGCTTGGCTTCATCTCGCCCAGGTAACCGGCAAATACTAAAATATGTAGGAACATACTTTGTTTATTGAATTTTCTCCTATTATGCTGAACTGTGGTGAAGATAGGATCTTTGGCATTGCTTCTATATATAAATCTGTGCTTCCATGCATGTGATGGTAAGTAAGTTTTCTGTAAATCAAGTGAGACTTTAAACGATGAAAGCTTACATCTTGACTTTTGGAGTAATTTAATTAAGGTTTCTTGAAGGGACATTTTTACTTGATTGTTTGGTTTCCTCAACTTATTTCTCTTTAATTTAGGTTGCTCATCTTAGTTTCTTGCTTGAATTAATTGAGTATGATACTACACACTTTTTTTTGCTTACTGTACTCGGATGGTTGTTTCCTGGCAGTTCTATCAAGAGTTGGCCGACCACAGCAAGGCTTTGGAATGCATTGAGCAGGTTCTACAAGTGGACAACAGGTAGTTCTTTTTTTTTGGGATGCACTACCACATGTAACAATATACTGTATTTATGGCTTTTCCATCATAGTCATGGCAATTTTCCTGTCTTGGTTAGGGTTTGGAAGGCTTATCACTTGCGTGGATTAGTGTTTCATGGATTAGGCGAACACAGGTATGTAGCGTCAGTGTAACTAAGATTGCTGGATACTGAATTTGGGTTAATGCGGATTGTTATGTCTTCGTTGATGTGCCTGTTACCTAAAATGTTCGTGAGTGATCCCAGTTAGTATATCTCAATGTGTAAAGGATGTTCCTAAAGAAACTGATAAGTTTGGTGGTCATAATCACCTCGATATTGATGTACAAGGTCTTTTAATCAGTGATTTTATTCACCTGTAATTTTTTTTGGTAAATTTTATTTCTCAGGAAGGCTATCCAAGAATTATCTATCGGATTAAGCATTGAGAACACAATAGAGTGCTTGTACCTACGAGGTTCCTGCTATCACGCTGTAGGAGAATATAGAGATGCGGTAAATATTCGTTATTAACTATATGGCTGCGATTTTTAAGGTGACTCTTCCTTATTGCTTGCCTTGAACATGCTTACAGGTGAAGGACTATGATGCTACTGTTGACGTGGAACTTGATGCAGTTGAAAAATTTGTTCTTCAATGCTTGGCATTTTATCAGGTTGGCTGGAATGAAATCTCAATGTTGAAATGTTATATGCAAGATTACTTTCTTAGTACACTGTTGTTTGTAGCACCCCGTAGTTATTAGCTATTCCATTAGTATTGTAGAAAAGTAAGGAATCATTTCTCTGAGAATAATGGTTCTTTGCTTATTTATAATTAGCATACTGAGCAGCGAAAAACCTCCCTCTATCTTATAAAATTGTTTTCCTTAACATTAACTTTTTAAGTTATCCCTTTTTCTTCCGCAGAAAGAGATTGCCTTGTACACGGCTTCCAAAGTTAGTAGTGAATTTCTCTGCTTTGATATTGATGGTGACATAGATCCAATGTTCAAGGTGATATCTCTCTCCCTCTCTATCTTGATATTTCTGATGTTACTACAAAGTCAGACTTTTGCTTTTGTTTGTCTGAACTCTTTCTGAGTAGTTTATACAAATTAGAATAAACATAGGCTCAAAAATGAGCCATGAAAATCCAGAGTGTCAAAGAAGTATACTTGAGGTTTGAGATAGGGGAAAAAACAGTGTATATTCAATGTGCTTGAATTGACAATTTAAATGTCTTCTACGTGTATCTTCACTATTAAGTATTAATTAGCTCAACCAATCTCAAGTCTGAAGTGATCATTAGTTGATTTTGTGGTACAAGAAGATTATTAGTGCCTCCAAGTTCCGTGAATATGCGAAAGCATATCTTACAGTTCCTTATGCTACTATAACACTCTCCTTTTTCCTCAATCGTATATGTGGTGAATGTGACTTTTCTTTTCCTGTGAGTTTTCAGGAGTACTGGTGCAAAAGACTACACCCGAAAAATGTATGTGAAAAGGTTTACAGACAACCTCCCCTACGTGAATCCCTTAAGAAGGGTAAACTGAAAAAGCAAGATCTTGCAATAACCAAACAGAAGGCGAATGTTCTTCGTTTTGCTGATGTAATAGGCAAGAGGATCCAATATGATTGTCCCGGATTCTTACCGAACAAACGCCAGGTGACTTTAGATATTCTGAGTATCTACCTTCTCACCACTCTTTTTTTGGTTGCTTTCTTCTTTTCTAAAGTTCATTTAAACCTCATAGCAGCTCTCTTTATTTCTTGCTGCAGAAGGTCCCTGTTGCATCTAATCACTAGATCTATACACGAATATCCATATGATGTTTTATGTGTGCCTAAAAACTAGCCTCTCCTCCATTAATTTTTTGTGTTTCAATGATTTTTCAGCATCGTATGGCAGGATTGGCTGTGATAGAGATTGCTCAAAAAGTTTCAAAAGCTTGGCGCATAGAATGGAGGAATTCTAACAAAGGCACCCCAAAAAATGGGAAAAAGAACCGGAGGAGAGAGAGAATCAACATGCTTAGTCAAAATAGAGGTGGTGCCGGGTGTAGTACTAGCAGTTCTAGTGAAACTTCAACTGGGTATGCCTCACTAGAAGATCGATCATCTGGCCGCTCTATGTTGTCTTGGCAAGATGTTTATTCTTCTGCTGTCAGATGGAGACAAATTTCAGAGCCTTGTGACCCAGTTGTGTGGGTTAACAAACTTAGGTACACGTTCCATTTCTAGTCTATGTTTAACTAGGCTTCAATTTTCCGAATTACAATTTTCCAAGTAAAAATTATAATTCGGTTGAGATTGTTTATCCTAATTGCAGTGAAGAGTTTAATACTGGGTTTGGTTCTCATACACCGATGGTACTGGGACAAGCCAAAGTTGTACGCTATTTCCCAAATTATGAAAGGTAAGTATTATAGGATATTGAAGTTAACTTTTTTTCCGTACATTTACTTATATAACTTTTCCTCATTTCATAACTGATAAACTTTGAATATGTTACTTCAGAACCCTGACTCTTGCAAAGAGCATCATCAAGGAGAAACTTTCTGTACGCAGCAAAAAAGATAAAGTTATTGATCTATCTAAAGATGAGAAGATAAAAGAAGTCAGTGTTCCTTTCTTCTTGCGTGAATGATTCTCGTTTTTTCATTGTTCTCTTACTGTACTTCCCCACGAGATGCAGATAATGCGTGCTGAAACTTGTGATGAGCTACACAAAGTTGTTGGTGAGGATTTCTGGGTGGCTACTTGGTGCGACAGTACGGCACTCGAAGGGTGGGTTTGTTGCTGTTTAGTACCGTAATCCCACAAGATAAATGTTCACTGAACATTCTGTTTTATCTTGATTTTGCTTCTTGCTTTGTTAACATTTTCAGGAAACGCCTCGAAGGAACTAGAATCACCTGCCTTAAAAAACCGTAAACTTTTACTCTTTCGCATGTGATTTCACGCAAATCTTAACTGCCACTTCTTCAATAAATTTCTCTGTTTTTTCCAGGGGAAGGCTTGGGTATGATTTTTCAATTCGAACTCCATGTACACCTGCAAGGTGGAGCGACTTTGATGAAGAAATGACCTCAGCTTGGGAGGTAGGACCTAAGCATAATATTTTTTCCTTTTTTTCTGAAATATAGTCTCAAAAGTCCAACTGAATCCGCAGGCTTTATGCACTGCCTATTGTGGGGAAAATTACGGTTCTATTGATCTCGACGCTCTAGAAACCGTTAGAGATGCTATCTTACGGATGACATATTACTGGTAAATGACAATGACAACATAACATATGATTGATTACTCACCAGCTGGTGGTATTTAATTGCAAGCATCGGTTTTCCTCAGGTACAATTTTATGCCGTTAGCTCGAGGGACTGCTGTAACGGGATTTGTAGTATTACTTGGACTTCTGCTTGCTGCTAATATGGAATTTACTGAGACTATCCCGAAAGGGTTACAGATCGATTGGGAGGCTATACTTGATGTTGGACCGAGCTCGTTTGTTGATTCGGTAAAGTCTTGGTTATACCCATCCCTGAAAATCAACACCTCGTGGAGAGACCACCCGGATATTTCCTCTGCTTTTTCGACAACTGGAGCAGTTGTCGCGGCGCTTAGCTCTTACAATGATTGAGTTATTCAATCATAAGAAGTGAAGAAAGCTAACCAAAGGATGAGCAGTAAGAAAACTTATGTTTCGGTCAAAAATCTTCAGTTTATGATATGCTTCTGTCTAAAAAAACAAAAACAAACAAAAAAAGCTTTGTTAGGATTTCTAAAGAATTTTAAACTCTCATGTATAACTTTATTTTGCAGAATTAATAATGTATCTAATTATAATCTCTCTCGTTTCAAATAACACAACTCAGCATGAGAAACTCTCGCGGAGCTGTGTTTGCTTATAAATTTACGAAGACCCTGGATCTGTTTTTGTTTGCTAATCATTCCAACTACTTTTTTAAGTGCCAGTGTACTGATTGGTCTGATTGGCACCATTAATACCGTGAGCAAATATAACCGTTGTATGTTCTGAAATTAATTAAAATCTCTAAAATAGTAATGTTCGTAAGATTCGAGTCACACATTTATTATCGCTGCAAACACTCGTCAAAGCCTTTCGACAAGTCAACGAACGAGAGCACTCGCGTTGAGTTTTTCTCCAATCTCCACCGACGCGCCGCTCTCAGAAATTTCCACTTGTCGCTGTCTTTATTTTGAAGGACTCATAAATAAATAAGTTGTTACGTATAAGATATAACTAGACCGAAACGTGTCTTGTTTTCTTCCTAGTCCGGTAAAATAATACTATAAGAAAACGTTGTGAAAAAAACTTTTATCATATTCTAAATAGAGTCATTGGAAGAAGTATGGAACAAAAGTGAGAAGCAAGAAAAAGAGAAATCAAAATCTTAGCTCATAAGCAATACATTTCGTGATTGGCTCGACGGTTTTGATTCTATTTCTACACGGATGATTATTCGATAGAGTATAAAAAAAAAAAAAAAATTCGATAGAGTGTGGGTGGAGTTTAGTTTATAATGTATATAGGCTTATAGCAGTCAGGCCATGGCGGTGACGGTGGCAACATACTATGAATGAATAATCAGTCACAGAGATTAAAATCAATCCAAAATAATAATATAAAGAAAGTGGCAATAATTGCGCTGAGTCTTAAACAGCTAAAGAGAAATCCGTGTAGGCCACAAATCAATCCAAAGTGGCAAAAACCAAATCAACCAGCTGTCTCTCTACTTGTAACTTCCGACCAAAGACACTTTTCGTTTACGTTTTCACTTTCATCTCTTTCTCTTTGTCTTATTTGGATTGCATTATGTTATTACTTTGAACTCGAGTTTAATGATTAACGTTGTAAATCAATCGAGTCACAATGATATCACCCGTGGTAAGAGAATTGGTAATCCCTTCCCCATAATAACTAATCCAATCTCAATTGCAATGTAGTACCTTTTTTTTTTGTTATTTCATAAACTAATTATCTCCCGACAAATTCAGTAGTTTTTTTCTTTGTAAAGGCCGACAATTTAGTAGTTGGAAATTTCTAGACCGTGATACAGTACTACTCTCTCTGATAACAATATTATAAATTAATATTAGTGTTAGACAATGATAAATATGTTAGCGACATTGGTTATCAATTTCAAATCCAATTATTATGATGACAGAAGACTTGTGATTATATAGTAACGTCAAGTTATATAAAGTGAAGTATAACGTTAAAATTACTATAGATCAGTTTTTATATCCGATCATATATATAACTGCATTACATTAAACAAAACACATGCTTCAAACTACCCACTATTGACGAATGAAATTATGGCATAATAAAACATCAAAAAAATGCCAAGAAAAAATATAAAAATGAAGAGCTATTGTGTAAGAAAATAAATAAAGCTAATTGAGCCCTACATTATAAGATACAGGATATTGTGTCCTGTTTCTCAACGGCTACATCTGTATGTGGTCCTTTTTTTGATCCAACGGTCCATATCTCTTCTCATCGCCTTTATATAAAAAACTCACACTTGCCCTTACATCAACCAACACGTTCGGGTTAAACTCATCAGTACTTTTACATCTTCACTTCAAACTCTCTCTAAGATCGGTCCTTACAAAACTTGTTTTCTTCTTCTCATCCAAATTTAACCCAAAAAAATAGTAATTATGGATCGCAGTTTCCTCCTAAAAGTTACATTGATCTGCATTGTCTTCGCCGGTGTCGGTGGCCAATCTCCGATCTCATCTCCGACCAAATCTCCCACCACTCCTTCTGTTTCTGCTCCTACCACTTCCCCTACTAAATCCCCCGCCGTTACTTCTCCCACGGCTGCTCCGGCCAAAACTCCGTCTTCTTTACCAGTCGAAGCACCGAAATCTCCTGCTCCCGTTAGCTCATCTCCTCCACCGACACCTGTTCCCGAGAGCTCTCCTCCTGCTCCGGCACCGAAAGCTTCTTCTCCGGTGAGCTCTCCACCGGTTCCAGCACCAGTAGTTGATTCTCCTCCAGCTCCCGTAGCCGCTCCCGTGGCTGATTCTCCTCCGGCTCCAGTAGCTGCTCCAGTGGCTGAAGTGCCGGCTCCTGCTCCAAGCAAGCACAAGAAGACTGCCAAGAAATCTAAAAAGCACCACAACGCACCTGCTCCGGCTCCGGAACTTCTCAGTCCACCTGCACCACCCACGGAAGCTCCCGGACCTAACTCCGACGCATTTTCTCCCGGTCCTTCCACATCTGCCGACGATCAGGTACATTGGCTTAACTCAACATTTATCTACCGTCACAGGTCGTTGTTGGTCTTGTGACAAAAAATACTCATTATTATTAATGAAATAATTAGGATTGAAATCAACAATATTATACCATCCTCGATGGGGATATTTTAGCCTCCTAAGATACTTTCATTGAGAATGCCTTTAAAGTTATCTCAGAACATTCAACAACGAAAACACACACATTATAAAGATCTTGCAATTTTATAAAATTCGAAATATTATTGAAGTGGAGAATTGAATGAATAATGCAGAGCGGAGCAGAGAGCACAAGGGCATTGAGGAATGTAGCTGTGGGAGCGGTTGCAACCGCGTGGGCTGTTCTCGTCATGGCACTCTAAAATTATTTATCTTTTCACCCCCTAAATTTTTTTAGTTTTTATCTTTTTGACCCTACTATTATTGTATGTTTCTTTTACGAATTTGGTATTTAATTGATTTATACAGTTTGTGTTATCTTTTTTATTTTTATTTATATGGGAAATAATAAGAAATTCACATCTGTCAGTGATGATGATACTGTTTATTACACGATTGATTGTTCCTTCTTTTTCTTTTTAGCAGACAATAGTCTTTAGTGGATGGGTCCGAGTTCTTTTATTGAAAATGACTCATTACAATTTTAATGCACAATTAATATGGGGACATCATCTACTCTATATAATGTTTTTTCGTGTGAATAATAATAATACAGCTACTGCAAAATTTTAGTGTGTTATGGACGTGTAATGTAAGATGCAATGTACTATTTACTATGAATTTGAAATGTTTAAGATGTAGTGGAAGATTTTTAGATAGTAAACATTTAAAGTTTTTTACCAATATTACAAATATGTCGCTACTAATCTGTATATGGTATGTTACTCTTGAGTATGTTAATGTGTTACTCTTGAGTATGTTAATGTGTTGCTCTTGAGTCTTGAATAAACACACTTATTTAGAATTGATGTAATCAATATGTATTTTCGTATACTACATTACAAAGTACAAACACACACACGACTTGAGTTTTCATCAAACACGTACGCTATTTAATATTTTGAACGAAATATTTACAATGGGAAATAGTATAATTTATGCGAAAAAAATGGAAGTGTCAGCTACTTAGTTGGATCTTAGTTTTTTGTATTTAAAGGTGAAGTTGCGTCGTAATTAACTCAAGTGGCCAAGTTGCTATAAAAATGAACTGTCTAAAATTTATTACTGGACATGTATGGATCCCAATTATATAAAACAACGTTTTTTTAATCGTACCTTTCAAAATAGCTAGATTCATATGTTTGTCTTCTCTCTTATTAGAGGACTAGATATGAAAGAAATAATAATTCCATAGATACCTAATAAAGTGGTAAGCAAAGTGTGGTAGTAAGTGAGAAGAGAATGAATATACAAGGTTACTTGTTTTCACCGATTTTGAAAAGAGAGAGTAAGGTAAAGAGGACAAGTCATTCTCCATGCTTTATGAAAAGAACATTGCTCCATTGTGAAGAAATTACTCTACAAAGAGCATATATGCATTGTTGTAACACTAAATAACACGGTTGGAAGCTTTTGTGGAATCTGAACAAAAACTTAATTTTTAGATTACTATAACTCTGGAAGCTAACTAAAAAGTGATCTAATTATATATCAGACTCTAATCTAAAGAAAGAGATGCATAAATCAAAGACTAATTAACTTTTTGTCGACTTTAGTAAAAGCAGAACTTATACTTGAACCAATGTCTTGTGTAAAATTTATGAGGATTCTTGGCTTTGCAAAGATCCTAAACCCACCAAGCCAAGCCTCTGATTCCACACCTAAATACAGATATATACATAGCAAATTATTTTTCTTTTCTAAAGACTAACTTGTAGCTTCTAGACAAAATGGGTGGTTCAATGGGATTTCTCGGAAAAGGTTTTTTTCTTTAACCTAACAATTGACAACTTGATTTGTATTCTTTAAACCTAACAATACGACCGCTTTAATCATTCTCGTCGTATTATTATTTTTTTCCTAATTGTATTTCGATATTATTTTGACGTATTAGGGGTACCACCGACGCAGATGATGAATATGGTAATGGGTTCACTCTACAAACAATTCACCCAAAAAGCTATCAACAACTTCGACGATTTCCACGTTGCTGTTTTAGACATCTTTAAGTAAGAATATATGATACTCATCAAGTCTCAGTTTTTTTACATGGCTAGCTGTTAATATAACTAGTTTTGATCTAATGAGTGCAGCAACTTCAACTCGGCTTTACCAGGCAGACACTTCGATTTCCCGACCCCGGACCAAATAAAAGTACATGAGGCCTCTCTCCTCTATAAAAAAATCACATATAAGTATAAAAGAACCTTGTAGCAATAATTTCTCTAGAAAGAATTTGACACAATTTTGAATGATAATATATATATATAAACTACAGGGTTGTTTCACGCAGTGGAAGGAAGCGAAAGACGAAGAAGAGAAGAAAAAAGTGTTCATAGAGTTCATGTCAAAGAGAGTGAAACCAAGTAAACTCGATGACGTCACTCTGCTCACCGGAATAGTATCTCCACCGGCGGCTATGGCTGCTAAGAGAGCAGGAGAGAATGTTCCTCAATTGAAGTTAATCAAACTCATTCCTGATGTTATATTCGTCCCTACGGTCACCATTTTAGCCATTGTCTCTGCCAAACTCTCAAGAAGAATGTATTTGAAATAAACGTTTTCAAAGTATAGCACTATTCTGACTTGATTCCGAGTTTCATGTTAAAATTGTAGATTTAGGTTTAGAATTGTAGAATTTATTGGAGAAATATTTAGGTTGTAGATTTTATTCCCTTTATAGGAATAAAAACTAACATAATTTGCCTTGACCCAAAAACAAAACATTAGAACGGTTAACTTGTGGATTAATCCCACCGACAGCATTATTAAACATATGATTGGTAAGATAAGATTGCAGATGATGCTGTAAGAATTATCTACACCAAAATATTTAGAAGCAAGTTCGGAAGTTGATTTAGTTTATGTCACAAATACATAAACTTCATGCAGTTTGAATATATATTTGACATGAAGAATCAAAACATAGCCACTCTATATATTTCTCTGTACTTTAGAGGCTTAAGCATACCTTAGAATGAACATACTTTGCTATTTAACACAAGATCCAATTTGTTTCTTCAAATTTTCCAAACCTTTTTTAGGATCTTCTTCTTAATCCAGTAGAGCCTGACCTTCGCTTTCCTCGCTTTCTCTTCCTGCTGGGAAGCTTAAATCTAGAAGCCACCGTCACACTAGACTTTGGCTTCTCTTTTGAAACCCTTTTTCTCTTTGGGTTAGTCTCTTCCTTTGTTATCAACTCAAGATTGCGCGGTGTTCTTTTCCTTACCTGCATTGCGTTAAAAAGGCATATGAGACCGAAAGGGTTTGGCAAAGTTCCACAGAGTTTGCAGAAACTTACAGGTCTTGATGGACCTTCCTCAACTAATGTTTGTTGTTCTGTCTTCTGCACTTTCTTATCGGGAACAATCGCTTTCCCTTCTCTGCGTCTTGATGCCAGGATTTCAGAGAGTAATATATCTGTTGTTTCTTCATCTTCAGGTGTGTTGTGATGAGATGAAACTGAAGCAGATTTCACTGGTTTTTCTTCAGATATGATCGATTTCTCATCTTCGGTTTTGATAACCACCAGGGGCTTTTGTTGTTCTGAGGTGGTGAACACATCAGCAGATCCAAGTAGATTCACTGTGTTAGCCGGAGGGAAGCTACTGGGATTTTCACTCAAAACCTTGTCTACTCGGGCTTTCAAGTTACGGGCTTCTGACTTTGCTGCTTCAATCTTCAAAAGTATCTGTTCCAAGTATGCATCGCCTTCTCTAAACTCGAGAGGCGGTGTCTCTTCAGGGAAAACTGTCTCATCCTTGGCGCTCTTATTCCGTTTATCTGATGATTCATGACACACACACACACAACACAAATAGATTTGTAAGATCAACGTTTTCAAAAGGATTAATATCATTTCAAAGTTTAGGATTCGGAACACCATACCTAGGTTGCGGGAGTTGTCATTAAGAGCAATATCAGCCAAAGACTTCCGGGAATCTATAAAAAGATCAGAAACAGTAGAAAAAAGGAATTATTAGACAAGTAATGACAGATGAACATTACACACGAACAGAAGAGCAAGAACCCAAAACTTGTTCCCCTACCGTAATAAGAGAAGAGATTATGGTTTGATGCATAGGATGGAACATCTAAGGTATCTTCAACTAGCTTTCTCTTTTTCCTCTTCCTGGGTCGGGTTTTCTGAGTATAACATGGAAGAGAAGGCAATGCCTTTATTCCAGTTTCTTCTGATTTGTGATTTTCTAACTCCAGTTGCTTGGCTTGGAAAGATTCTTCCAGTTCTTTGTCATACTTCCGTGCTTGGTTCTGAAATTCTTTGATTTTGAGCTCAATCCATTTGCAACGCCACATTATAGGCTTTACAGACCTCCTCCAGTGATCAGTCAGCTTCCTCTTTCTGCCATAAGAGGGAACAAAAAATAATATTTACTGCATACCATTCACGATATAGAGCAAATCTTAACGTTTCAGAGATAAATTCAGAGCGCAGCTAAGTAGTAGACTAGTAGTAAAGTAACTCCTATAATTCTTTCAGAAACAAGCAACTCAGAGATGAGAGAAATGATCAGGTTCAATTATCAGTAATAGTAAAATAAGCTACCAAATCAATGATCTATAAAACCAAACTAAGCAGTGGACGTTTTTCTCATTAGTAAAGGAAACAAAGATTGCAAAAAGATGTGCAAAACTGCGGCGGACGAGGAAACCATAACAGATAAAGGAGCTTACCTAACCCAGAGCGGAAGAGAAGTATCATTACAAGTGATGGAATCAGCTTCTTGATCATTCAAAGCAGGTTCATCGCTCTCATGCTCAGAAACAGTTCCACTAAACGAGCTCGACGAATATCCATCAGTCGCATCATCATAGCATTCCGAGGCTTCAACCTCATCTTCATCATAGCATTCCAATACATCAACCTCGTCTTCATCTACCACCTCTTGTTTAACAGAAACATCAACACTATCTTCACCACCAGCAACATCAACACCAACACCACAAGGATCCTCAGTGAGATCTTCAACAGTATTATAAAAACTATGGTCCTCATAGTTACTAGTACAAGGCATCTCTTTGGGTAATGCCTCTAACTCCTTATCCATGTCTAGCTTCGATTCCTTCACCTCCATACCAATAAATACTTTTGATTTCTTCTTCAAGTAAACCCTAGAAAAATCCGAAAAGCATCATTTTTTCATGAAATTATAATCGAACTAATATCTCCACAAGTCTCATCAGGGAACCCATATGCGTCGAATTGAAAAGAAGACGAATTCACACAAAATTCTAATGGAAAATTTCAGAGCTTCAATCGTAGATGAGTTCACAATTTCAGATGCAAAACAACAAAATCGAAAACCCTACAAGAAAAAAACCATTACCTAAATAATCGACTAAGATCGCCATTAGTAGAGAAGGATTATAATCGGCGGCGAGAAACACGACGGAGATCTCATAGTCCAGCCACCATTATCGCTCGGTGGTCGAAGGTTTTTTTTTGTTAAATGGGAGAGAGAGAGAGAGAGAGAGAGTCTACGGTTTATCTTATAAGAGTGGGTCCCAGTGGTCTTTTTTTATATTTGTTTCTGTTTATTGACCAAAAAAATATTTAATATTTTATTTTTTCACAAAAAAAAAATTTCAATGTGTGAATATAATATATATAAACATCTCAATATAGGTAATTAACTACAAAAATGTGAAACATAAACCTAAAATAAAATTATAAAAGACATACTTTAAGCTTGTTGAATCTAGTGTCTAGATATTTGTTAAAAAGTTTAGATATTTAATCCGATATTCAATTTATTTTAGATATGTAATTTATTTTTTATTGATTTCACAAAGATTTATATAAAAATATTTGTTATGTACCCTATGTTAGATGTTAAGACAAGTGGCAAAACAACACTTTCTTGAATCTTTAAGATTAGATACTCCATATGGGATTATCTAGGTTACTAAGCCATATTAATTAAAAGTTTTTATATTTCGTTATAATCTTCTAATGTGTATGGAAACAGATTTTTTTTATCTATTATCTATTAGATATTAACAATAATATTAACTTTCTCTTTATTTAAATATATTTTCTAATTCATTAAAAATAAATCTATTTTTTAATTCATATTTATCATTTATACATTAATTTAATATAAAGAAAACATAATCCAAATCATAGATTCTATAGTTTGTTACATTGTACAATATCAAAGCCTACAAGTTTATACATCAACTATATAAGTAATGTACTTAGATGTTGAGTTTGAGAGCTAATTAACTGAGAAACAAACATTGTAAAAAAAACACAAAAAAAAAAAAATGGGTAGACAGATGAAGAAGATAGAAGATAAACAACAAAGAAACATAGCATTTGCTAAAAGAAAAAATGGGCTTTTGAAGAAAGCTTATGAACTCTATGCTCTATGTGATGTTCATGTTGCTCTCATCTTCTTCTCTCCTTCTGGCAAACTCTTCGTTTTCAATGCCAAAGGAAGGTATTCTAAATTTCCTCTTCTTCTTTTAATAATTATAACATTCTTAAATAGTTTCATTAATCTGATCATATCATTTTCATCACTATTGTTAAATGCTTATAGTGTCGAGGAGATTATACACAAGTATGTTTCTTTGCCTACTTATATGCGCCAACGGTAAATTATTTGTTCTAAAGCATCTTTTTTTTTATTGAGTTCAAATGATATTGTTCCATCTAAGAATATAAAGTAATAGACTTTTTTTTTTTTTTGATCGTACAGCTTCAAAGATGAGACGGTAAAAATACCTATAATAAATCTTAATATGTGACGATATTTTTATAGTTTAAGAAAAAAAAATCGTATATCTAAATTTGTTTTTTCTGGATTGGTATGGGCAAATCTAGATTGTTAAAGCGTTAGTCGATCAGATGCTTCAAGACTCGATGCGTACCAACTCGAGGTTATTAATTTTTCAAAGTCTATGATCGTATGAATTATACCATTGTTATTTTGCTTCATATGACAATTGACAAGTAAGGTATATTGTTGTTTAGCTTTTATTTGTTTTACATGATGTGCAGAGAAAGTCGTGGCGATGCTGTTCGTTACCAAATTCAACCAAAGGCATGTGGACGAATAAATGTTTCTCATGCTTGATTTGGAAAATATTTATGAATATCAAATATGTTAAATTACTTTTATGCATGGCTGTTTTAATATGTATACCTAACCATTCAGTTTTCGTAATATTAGGCGATCGAAGATGAAATCGAGAAATACAAAGCCGAATTGGCCGAAGTTGATCGAAAATTGGAGTAAATATCTAATTTTACAGATATGCTTATAATTATATATTAGAACAAAATATATATATATATATTTTTAGTATATATGAACAGTTAATGTCTTTATATTTTGAAGCTGCTATTTGAAAAGTCCGAATAAGTGGGATTCACTAGCTGAACTTCAAAGTCGAATGGAAAAAATCGGGACGGCAAAGGTTAAAGTTCAATCTCGAAAGGTAATTTTATTTGGGTTCATATAGATAACAGTTATTTTGGGAAAATTACCATTTAAAGAACAACAACGTCCATTTTGATACTTACTGTATGGTTTTTTTTTTCCCTTTTTTGGAACTTAAGGATTTATGGCTTCACATGTGATATAAAAAAAAAAAAAAAAAAAAAAGGATTTATGGTTTCACCTTTCACGTTAAAACGTTTTTTTTTTGGTTATTTGCTTATCACTAATTATATTTTCATTTCAGAGAGAATTGCTATCTCAAAATCAATCCGCTAATGCTAGCTTGGAGAACTCGTCTGTGGAATAAAAAATTATTGTGAATTTAAACTAAATAATGTAGTATATCCGAAAATAATGTTGGTATCGTTTGTATCCAAATTTACCATCTTTTAAACCTAAAATTCTTGTTACTGAAATAATATATTTCTATGATTTGAAGTTATTATTATGGAAATCATTCATTTTATTACCGCATTTGTTTAAGATAATAAATTGCCAGTTTTCTAAATTAGATTAGAAGCTTAGCGGTAATGGGCCTAGGCCTACATAAAGCCCGTAAGGGATCCATCTTACGCATACCCAACCCAGCACTCTCTGACATATCCATCTCTTCACCTTTCAAATTCTCCCAATCGAAACACTGAATCAACGACCCAAGCGCCAATGTCACGATCTTCTGCCCTAATCCGGCGCCGGGACAAGTTCTCCGGCCATTTCCAAACGGCATTAGTTTGAAAACGTAGTAGTCGTTTCCGCATACGTCTATGAACCTATCCGGATTAAATTTCTCTGGATCCTCCCAGAGCTCTGGATCTCTATGTATAGCCCAAGCATTCACCAACACTATCGAGTCGCGCGGGACATCGTAACCGCCGATTTTCATGTCCTCCGTCGGCGATCGAGGGATTAGAAGCGGCGCCACCGGAAATAGCCGGAATGTTTCGGAGACGACGTTCTGGAGATAAGGAAGCACGGCGATGTCTGATTCGTCGACCAATTGATCTTTTCCGACTTTCTCATCGATCTCCGATCTCGCCTTCTCCAGTACCTGTGGATTCCTCAGTAAATTCGCCATCGCCCACTCTAGTGTTACGGCGGAGGTCTCAGTCCCGGCGAGCATCATCGCCTTTAACAAACAATCAGGTAAAAATTGAATTCAAAATTCGTTCTATTTCAATTAAATCAAGTTTTTTGATGTGATCATGATTCATGAATTAGACATCTTACCATCATGAGGCCTTTGATGGTAACGTCAGTGTAATAGTGAGGTTGTTGTTGTTGTAGAGAGATCAAATGATTGACCATTGTGTTACCTTCTTTATCTCTTCTACACTCATCGAGCAAACGCTGCAAAATCTCATCCATGGATTTGCCAATAGCTATAACTTCCTTTTCGTATTTGTTTCCGAATAGTTTTAGAACTGGCAAGTAATCAGCGGAATGGTTAGCTCCGCTGTACACTGCGATATCGTAAACTAGCTTCTTGAATAGCTCTGCTTCTTCCTTGTTGTTGACATCGTCGCCGTAATATCGCTTCCCTGTAACCATCCTTACTATGTTGTTGAACGTTAGATCGGATAAGAGGGGTTCGAGCTCAATGTGAGTGAAACTGCTGCTTCCGTTGGAGGCTTGCGTGGTGCGTGAAATGCGCTTGAGCATGCGCAATATCTCGTCTTTGCGGATGTGTTGGAAGTTGTTGAGGCGGTGAGAGGAGAGAATCTCTTGAGAGCAAATGCGGCGGAGGTTACGCCAGTGGTCTCCGTAAGGAGCTGTTCCAACGGTTGTGTGGTTATAGGCGACGTATTTGGCAGTGAGTTGTAGAGGCCTGCTAGAGAGAAGGATGTCGTTTTGGCCGGTGAAGGCTTCTTGAGCGAGGGAAGATGAAGTTATGACAACAACGTTGCGAGAGCCGAAACGAAGGGATAAGATTGGGCCGTATCGGTTGGAGAAGCGTTGGAGGAGACGGTGGATCGGCGGTTTCATGAGGTGGAGATGGCCGACGAAGGGACGTGACGGTGGTCCTGGAGGGAGCTTGAAACAATGCGTTTTGGAGTAGAGAAATTTGTAAGCCAAAAGAAGGGATAAGAGAGGGAGAAGGATCAAGTATAACATTTTGCCTCTTTTCTTTTTTTTGGATGTTTGTGTTTCTTCTACTAGTGATACTGGTTATGGTTTGTTAAGTTTATAATTTTATAAATTTCAAATCTCGTTCACTAAAGTTAAACGAAAAACTTCAAAATACTGTTTCTTCCCTTTTACTTGTACGGTGCTAGTTTATGAATAAAGAAATTCGAACCAATGCAACTTGACACGACCATTTTTAAAATCTTTCGCATGGAAATTCGAAACCATGCAAGTTGAAACTGCTATCAATCCGACTCGTCAATGATTATTAAATAAGGGTCATAAAGGTTCAAGTTTCAGAAAACTCAATAATGGGAATTGATTATTGCAATTGTCTGTCTTTTTGGTTATGATGGGTCATATTCATTGTTTAAGACTCGACCAATATGTAGCTACGTCATTGTAACAATAAATTTAGCGAAATATGTTTTTAAGGTTTTAATGATGATTACATTACAGACAGATATTCATTTGATAATTGTTTCTATTAAATCAAGAAGCAAAGGAAATGAATTAATCAATTATTAATTATTAATTTAATAACAAAGGTATTTACTTTATCAAAGCAAAAGGAGAAAGTCACTAAGCTACAATAATAGTATTTTCTTGCGGTCGTGACTCGTGAGAGGAGGAGAAGGATAATTAATTGCCTTGCAGTTTCTTCATCGTACGTCATCACAAGGTCATCTGTAACAGATTCTTTTCAATTATTGATATCCGCATATGATGCAACCAAGTTTACATATGAAGAAGTTGTATCTGAAAAGTAACTCTAGCTACAAATTTTAGTTTCTATGCTTTCACCTAACCAAAAAATTCAAATCCAGTTTACAAAAACAGTGAAAAGGATCTGTCACACAACTATACTATTAACACAATAACCCATCCAAAATCTAATGAAACTTTCATCTTTGCCATGCCATTTTATAACCGTCTTTAACCGGGTGACTGAACCATTTTCTGGTTAACCTCTTTAACCTCAGGTCCTTGACTTCGCAGAATCTCTGGCCCCATCCTTCCGGTTCAATGGGCCTAAAGCCCAACCCAGGAGTTCGATCTCTCGACTTAGGGTTAGAGACTCTGGTCCAATCCACCACGTACGCCGACACGCGCCGTTTGAACTTGGCCTTGAACTCTAGCCACGCCTGGTACTTGTAGTGGTTCACCACTCCCTCCTCCGTGTCCGCCACACGCCACTCATACTCTTTCTTCAAACCAAAGTGGTGAATCGCTGTATAGAGAGAATGCTCAATCGCGCTTAGCCGCACGATCGACTTGTGCCGTTGATCTTCCTCTCGCCGACACGTGTACCCTTGCGTCACACCTCCACGTGGATGCTCAGTCTGATTCGAAGGCCCAAACTCGTGCGATTTAAACGACACCTGTCCGATCATGCTATGATCCGACGGTAGAAGAGACCTAATCATCTGATCCGACGGCTGCGACTTATTATCCCAAGACGGAGAGAAGAGAAACTCGTCCACGTCAAGGTACATCATCCAGGTGCACAAATCGTTTCCATACACCGCCGCGTGGGAGAACCCAGCCTCTTGCGTCTTGGGCCAAATCCAAAAAACTTTGGTGATGTCATACCTTTCACTCTTGAGAACCTCAACGACGTCGTTTAACTCGTCGTCGCTTCCATTATCGTATATGATGAATCTTTGTATTCCGATCGCCGCGTGATACATCACCCACTCTCTCAAATACTTCGCTACATTGTACACCATCGTCGTCGCGCACAGTAGCGATTTCTCACGTGGTTCTGTTAACGTGCGCTTAGGGCTAAAGTACGCGACAGACGGGACTGTCTTTGTCTCCTCCTTATGATCGGTTGCCACCGCCTCGAGGTAGATTTTGACCGGCGTATCGATCGTTTTGTTAGGGAATGAACATCGGAACACCTCTTGAACGGAGCTCGTCACGGGGGTTCTAATGGCGGTGTCGGATTCCTCACCGAACACGCAACGAAACGACTCGGGAGGTTTATTGGAGCCTAATCCACGGTTCGGCCCTTTGACTAAGAGAACGACGTCGTTTTCCGTTGAAATGGCTTCGAAAACGACGAAGTTCCATAGAGGAAGATCAGGCCAACGTGTTTCCGGTGAGAGTTGGAATGTTTTGGAAGTGGCAAGTACCGGAGTAGGGATCGGATGGTGGTGGCGGTATATACCGGGAAGGCTGCATCTGAATGTCGTACGGTTCGTGAAAGGGAGAATCGCGACGAACCTCGCCGTGGCTTTCTCACCGTTAGGGTAAAAACATGTGTAGTTCTCCCCTGGAAGCTGAGGCGGGAGAACTTTCTCCTCCGGTGAAACGATCACAAGGATCTCCCATCCTGGCCAGAGAACAGCTTCGGCTTTGATCCTGCGAGAACCGTTGGATTGTTGAGGGCTTGAATCTTGAGTGTTGATCACGTAACTGACGATTCTTGATTTAGTCGGGCGTACCGTGGCAAAGAAGGCAGCTCGATAAATCGTGTTTGGGGAACAATAGAGAGAGAACAGACCAAAGAGAGAGAGTGGAACAAGAATGAAGAAGAGTGTGGTTGTGTGTGCTCTGTAACTCGTTTTGTGATTGAAGAATTGAGCAGCAGCATCGTCTGCTCCGGTTGTTGATTTTGGTGATGATCGAGGAGAAGAACAAGTCTTGAAGGATAGCGTCATTGTCGATTACGTATCCAACAAACTTGTTTTGTAGTTTTACCCAAATAAAAAAATCCATCAATGAAAATATATTTTTTTGTATTATTTTTTATCGTTTACATTGTTTGTTTTGAGTTTCAGAAACACTAATTATAATGACCAAAGATTGGATGAAGAAAGAAAAATTCTAAACCCATGAAAATAGCAGGAAAAATCTGAATATGATTAGTTTTTGGAGAAAAAGGCTTCAGCTCTTTTTTGTGGTTGCTATTGCCAAATATAGCTTTTTATCAATTCATTCACACGTTGTCCTCGTTGGTTACACAAACGCAGCACAAGGTAACAATTTTGCATAAGAAGTAGTATAAATGAATCTTAACTGTTTTTGAATATTCTCAATCTCTAAGCGTATATATAAAAGACTTTGTAGGATCTGTTTTGATATAGTTAATATCCTTAACGGGGTTAAAAAGAAATTGGCCGTACGTGTGTATATATAATTAATGTATATGCTTCGATATGGGCATTGGGCAACAATGGTGGCATGATCTTAAGAGAATCGAATATCAAAAATTAAATATTATCCTTTGATATAGAAAAATGAATATTATCCTTTCTTTAATATCGGAAACATGTTTTGCACAATATAAAATGAGTAACAATGTGTTCTTGCGAAATCAGTCTATGCTTTTTATAAGGCATATATACGACAGAGGTGGTTGAGCTTATTTCTTGACCCACGTCCTTTTGTTTTTTTTTTTGTTTGTCGCTTTGTCACACATATTCGATCCCACAATATTAATAATGGTATTGATTACTGAGCCCCTTGGCCTCTATTATAAGTTATAGGATTTCATTTCAATCAAGAAAAAGAAAGAGAGCCAAAAGGAAAGATGTTTCAGTTTTATTTTCTCGTGATGATTTTCATCGTCCCCTTACTCTACATAGCTTACAGTTTCAGTTCTAAAAGACAACGTTTCAACATTCCACCAGGTCCTCCGGGTCTTCCTGTCGTCGGACATCTCCACCTCATCAAACCACTCCTCCACCGTTTCTTCCATAGCTACTCCAAAAAGTACGGTCCCATATTCACCCTCCGCTTCGGGTATCGCCGTCTCGTCGTTATATCGTCTTACCCTCTAGTTAAAGAATGCTTCAGCGGCCCAAATGATATCATTTTGTCAAACCGGCCTTTATCCATGACAAACAAATACATTGCTTACAATAACACCACCATCGGAACCTCCCCCTACAACGAACATTGGAGAAACCTCAGGCGCATCAGCTCCGTGGAGATTCTCTCCTCCCAACGCCTCGCAAGCTTCCTAGATATTAGGAGAGACGAGCTCCGTCGGATGCTCAGGAGACTTGCACGTGAACACACCACTAAGGGTAATTATCAACTCGATTCTTTCAAGGAGGTCGTACTCGAACCCCCATTGTCAGATTTAGCGCTCAACAATGTCGTGAGGATGGTGACGGGGAAGAGATACTACGGCGATGATGTTCGTGACAAGGAAGAGGCAGAGATATTCAAGAATCTCATCATAGATATTTTCGAAAACAGCTCCGCGAATAATCCTAGCAATTATTTGCCTTTCTTGAAATTCTTTGGGTGCAAGTACGAGAAGCAGGTGAAACGTATCGGCAATTCCGTGGACAAGACTTTGCAGCGTCTCCTCGACGAGTGTCGGAAAGACAGGGATGGAAACAGTATGATCAATCACTTGGTGTCTTTGCAGGATCAAGAACCTGAGTATTACAACGACGTAACCATCAAAGGGTTAATGATGGTAACACGTGGTTATAAACAATTTTTATATTTGTTATTGATCATCATATTTCTCTAAGTGATTATATATTTATATTTGGTTATATATTATGCGTATGGATCAATTTTATACCTTTATTTTTCATGAATCAATTTATATGCAGGCTATGATAATCCCAGGATCAGATACTACTTCAGTTATGATCGGATGGGTTATGGCAAACTTGCTGAACCATCGGGATGTGTTAAAAAAAGCAAGCGCGGAGATCGATGAAAAGATCGGACAAGACCGTCTCATCGACGAAGAAGACATCTCCGACCTTCCTTACCTTCAAAATATTGTGTCTGAGACATTCCGGTTAAACCCGGTGTCCCCGATCTTGCTCCCTAGGGAAGCTTCCGAGAACATGAAAGTCGGTGGGTATGACATACCACGTGGCACAACAGTTGTGATCAACGCGTGGGCTATACACAGAGACCCGGAGCTCTGGCACAATCCAGAAGAGTTTAATCCTGAAAGATTTAGTGGGAAAAATATCAAAATTGATGGATCCATCGACAGTGTTCAGACTCTGATGCCGTTTGGGAACGGTAGGAGACAGTGTCCTGGTTCTGCCCTCGGGATGAAGACAGTGACGTGGACAGTAGGAGCAATGGTCCAATGCTTTGATTGGAAGACTGTGAATGGTGATAAGATTGATATGGAGGAATCTCGAGGGATTGTGATGCGTAATCTTAAGCCTTTACGTGTTATGTGCCGACCTCGACCAATTATGTCTAAACTTGTTGCTGAGGCAACTTCTTAGACCGTATCGTTTAATCAGAGTTTGACGGCAGTTCTATCATCTATGCGGGCCGGCGAATGCAATAGAATCGCCAACAAATAATAATACATATTTGGACCTAGACCAAAGCAAAGTAAAAGTAAAACATCAAAACAATTTTTCTTTTAGACAGCACTAGATATCAGATAACAGGTTTCCGTTTCGTTTGTAACATTTTTATATAATAAGGTTTTATACGATCCATGTGTTACAATTTCCTTTTTTTCGTAACACGTGTAGAGAAGCTTAAAAATAAAATAAATTCTTCCTTATTTTCCATCTTTGTGCTCCCAGCCTTCCACTAATAGTTTAGGTTTAACTATTATTTAATTATCTTTCGAATTGTATTCCAATTAGTGGAGTGGACAACTAGACAATGGACATCAACATTTGAAAAAAGCTACTTATACATTTCATTAGTGGTTTTGATCCAGAATCAAACCGAATCGAAAAAGATCAAAAAAGCTATCCAAAAATAATATTCTTTGAAAAATTAAAGATATATTTAACGAATCTCGAATACGAATCAAAGACAAATAAAACTCAACCAAACTATTCGTAAACCGAAATCAATAAATATACAAAAAAAAAAAACTGAATTCTAATTGAGATCATCCTTGCCCTCAATGGACATAATTTGATTAATGAGAAAATCCGTTACGACCAAATAAATACCAACAAAATATAATTTTACTTTTCTAAGTGTGTAGTATATAATATTATTTTTGGTCACGATAAAAGTACATTTTTTATTAGAATTAAATATGGGCAAATCATTAGACACATAGCCAAAACCTAACAAGTTTGCTGAGAAAACCAAAAAAGTAGTTAAAAGAAAAACTAAGCGTGTAAATGAGCCTGAAGCTTATACATAATGGGCCGAGATCGACATAAAGCCCGTAAAGGTACTTTCTTACGCATCGCCATCCCCGGAGTCTCCGTCATATCAATCTCCTCGCCGTTGACTTTTTCCCAGTCAAAGCATTGAATCAACGAACCTAACGCCAACGTCACTATCTTCTGCCCTAACGCGGCGCCGGGACACGATCTCCGTCCATTACCAAACGGCATCAGCTTATGAACGTCTTCTCCCCCGTTAAACCTCTCTGGTTTAAACTTCTCCGGTTCGTTCCAAAGATTTGGATCTCTGTGTATAGCCCACGCGTTAACCATCACCATCGTGCCACGCGGCACGTCGTATCCTCCTACTTTGATATCCTCCGTCGGTGATCTTGGCACCAGAAGCGGCGCCGCCGGGAATAACCGGAATGTTTCGGACACTATGTTTTGTAGGTAAGGCAAGTTTGCAACGTCTGGTTCGTCAATCAAACGTTCTTGTCCGATTATCTCGTCAATCTCTAGTTTTGCTTTCTCTAATGACTCTGGATGGTTTAGCAAACTCGACATCGCCCACTCCAATGTCACGGCGGAGGTGTCTGTTCCAGCGATCATCATGCCCTGTAATTCCCCATGATTAGCAAACTTTTATAATCAGAGACTGAGACACAAATCTGTACACAGACGCCGGACCATGCCAATTCTAAGTAACGATTCTTAAATATTATGCCTAAAAAGTCGAATAACGTGTCTTCGATTTTACAATTTATAAACAGACTCTAAACCAAGGTCAAGCTGCACCTAATTAACAACCTAACCTATAAATTAACTCAACAAATCTTTTAACTTAAATAAGATTTTTTCCCGAAAATTTCAAATATTAAATATGATAACTTTTTCTATATTTTTGAACCACCAGAATTTGGAAACAAAACAAAATTGAATGAAACCTAACGAAACTACCAAAGATTAATTTGCATAAACACATACAATATGTGTATACGAGTGTGTTAAGGATTCGTTACCAGCATTAGGCCTTTGATGGTGATGTCAGTGTAATACTCTGGCTCATGTTGTTGGAGAGAGAGCAAGTGATTTACCATAGTGTTACCGTCTTTATCTCTCTTACACTCTTCAAGGAGACGCTGCAAGATCTCGTCCATGTTTTTCGCGACAGCTTTCACTTTCTTCTCAAAGCTCCCTCCAAATATCTTCAAGAAGGGCAAGTAATCTCCGGGATGCCTAGCGCCGCTACTGTCGTTGATGTCGGCGACGAGTTTCTTGAAAACATTCGCCTCTTCTTCGTTATGGACTTCGTCTCCGTAGTATCTCTTCCCTGTAACCATTCTCACGATGTTGTTGAACGTCAGATCAGACAAGAGCGGCTCTAGCTCGATGTCTTTGTTGACGTCACGTGAGAGTCTCGTGAGCATACGGCGGATTTCGTCTTTGCGGATGTGGAGGAAGTTGGTGAGACGGTTCGAGGAGAGGATTTCGAGGGAGCAAATGCGGCGGAGGTTACGCCAGTGGTCGCCGTAAGGCGCGGTTCCGACCGTTGTGTAGTTGTAAGCGACGTATTTGGCCGTTAGGAAACAAGGTCGGTTTGATAGAATGATGTCGTTTTGGCCAGTGAAGCATTCTGTTGCGAGTGAGGATGAGGAGATCACGACGGCGCTGCGGGAGCCGAACTTGAGGGAGAAGATTGGGCCGTGGGTTTTGGAGAGACGTTGGAAGAGACGGTGGACCGGCGGTTTGAGGAGGCGGTGGTGGCCGAGGATTGGGAGAGAGTAAGGGGGAGAAGGAGGGAGGTTGTAACGTTGCGATTTGGAGGCGAAGAAGAATTTGTAAGCCAAGAGAAAGAGAGATAAAGGTAGAATAATCACATAGTAGTAAAACATATTTGAGCTTCCTTTTTTCTGAAAGAAGTTTAGCAGTATAGTAATGGAGTCGAGGAAATTATTATATAGTTGGGTACCATTATTTTTTCCCCACGAGATATATTTTATTTATTGTGAGCATAAATATATTCATATGATAATGTTGTTTCGAAATGCTCGAAAAGAAGTCATAAAATAAGTCAGATTGACAAAGTTGACCACCTTTGACTTAATCAATACAATCTCGACTTGAGAATTATGGAACCAGCTGGTCTTGAGGCTCGAGCTAACGGAGACCACGTTTCTCTGAACCAAGTGCCGCTAAGCACACATAAAGCTAGCCATGTGATATATATACATGCTTGAGATTTTTAAAGGGTCACTTGTTGAACTGTGGTAAAGAACTTCACTGAATTGGAGAGGGATAAGACAAAGTCTCGCGTATATCATCTTAAAATCAGGTTTTGTCATGTTACAGTGGCGTGGCAAAGCCTCTGGATTACTTTTATAGTTTGAGAATCTTCAAATTATGCGACTACCAAACTAGACCTAAATGTATTCGGATATAACTTCGTCATAAATCTTACCCAAAAGATATCATATACAAATACAGTATTCCCAATGTCAGATCTAGCTCTTAATTCCGTTCCTCTAATTAAAAAGTTCCATTTGCACTAATTGCATCAGTTCCCTCTCCACGTACGGGACATCTAGCAAACCCCAAAAGATAGCTGGTATTAGCATATGGAGTTACATGTTGCGATCTCACATATTCAAAGTTATACTATTTCTGTTTACTTTTATCTTCTTTGAGCCATGAGCTTTAATGTTTTATTTTGTTTTAAATTGTTATAACAGTCAATTTAATTTACTCAATAGAGTCTATCTTATTCTATATCAGATTTTGTCATATTAAGTTGCTCAGTTCGTTATAAGCTGCTTTTTATGATACTTATTTTCCACTATATTTCTGCATTATTTTTTTAAAATTTAGATTTGTTTCAAAAATTAATTAAATTTAAGTCACAAAAGTTCGGTTCCTAATTTCCATTTTCTTAAGGTGTACAGATAAGACAAAAGGAGATATTCAAACTAAGCGTTAAATATTTTATTTTGGTTTTACGAAGAACGCAATGACATTATTACTAGCGAAGTACCATTCTACAAATCTGTACAGATAATAAAATGCTTATTTCCTAATCATTCATTTTATAAATACTAGCTTGGATATTATACTATTGCAAATGGTTATATTTTTTTTCTTATGCTCCTTTTTTTTTTGCATTCTTTAGCCAACTGAGAGGCATTTTTATTATTATTCGATATTGTATAATTAGTCCACTTGGAAGTTTAGGTGGAGAAATTTTTGGACTATTGGTAGAAGTAGAAACCTAGGTTGCATGGAAACTTTTTTTGAAGTGCGTTTCCCGTTTCCGAAACGTTTCGGAAACAGAAACTCTTGGAAACTCGGAAATTCTAACGGAAACACGATTCCAAATTTTTTTTATTTAGAAACACGATAGAAACTCGCGTTTCCATTTTGGAAACCCGACGAAATCTTAAACTTTTAATTTAGAAATTCAATAAACAAAAATTTTGATTTATAATATATAGAGTGATTACTTTTATAACTTTAAAACCTGATTAATTCAATTTAAATACACATATACAATAATATATGATATTTTAATATATAAATTTTGGATTTCAATGTTTTAATATTTATCTTTTAGTTAAATTATTTAGTATATATATTTTGATTAACGTGTTATTTCAAATATTTAAAATTAATATAGTTTGGATGTTTGATGTTAATATTATATATAGATATATGTATATATTATTAGCGTTTCCAATACGTTTCCATATCCTAATTTCATAAAAAACTCGTTTCTCGTTTCCGAAACGTTTCGTTTCCGCGTATCCGTTTCCGGTAGAAACTATGATACAAATTTAAATCTTTCCGAACATTGGATGATAATATATAATAAGTCACTAGTCGACAACCACAGCATGGTCTGTAACTCCAAACAACATATAATATTGAATCATCAGAAAGTGACTACGACAACCACAGTTGGTGAAGGTATATATTTATATGGAAAAAGAAAATTGGGATTATCAATATCTACACGTTAAAATTATGAAAATGTTGTATACAATAATTATTAATTTTTAAAGAACAAAATATTGACTAGCAACATTTTGTAATACTACCTTTTTTAGTAAATAGAAAAAGGCAAACAGTTTGTAATACTAAATGGGCCACTTGACAGATTATTTTTCTTTTGTTTTTTTTTTCTTTTTTTGTCACAAATAAACTAGAAAAATTGGCTCACAATTAAGAGCAACTTGACAGATTCTATATGTAAAAACTGGAATGGTTTTTTTTAATTAAATTATCTACCGTACCAATTTTGGGCCTCAACTTGAAATGGGCCGTTGCTTAAGACATAATATAACATTTTGGGTTTCGCTGAATTTCGGCAATTCATCTCAATTGTTGTTTTATTTTATTTTAATGTACTAATTAATTAGCTGAAATCCGACAAAAGGAGAGGAAAAAACATCAGTACGTTCTTCAAATTTATTATACGATTTAAGAACCCTAAACACAACAACATAACAATTAACAAGTAATCTAAAAGAGTCTTAGAAATCGGAAACAGAGCTTTATATTATAGAACCGAACAGCATCAATCGGCTTTATATCTTTCATTAGAGTTTCATCTAACGACGTCGTTCTGGGGACCAATACGGCAACGAAGGGCTGAAATGAGTAGACACAACTCTAGAGTCAAGCAGCTCCATGATTGGTGTGAAGCTCACGCACCTTGGGACCTTATACTGGTTAATCGAAGCACCTCTGGAGATGGCATAGTCCATGAGCTCCTCAAAGGTACCGTTCTGCACCACACGTATCTCCAACGGACCAATCGACTTATCAGCGACTCGGCTTTGTCTATAAACCGAGTTTAGTGATTCCTCCATCTCCAAGCAGCACTTAGCCATGACTTCGTCGCTAGGAAGAGCATTGGTTTGGTCTCTACCAAGTAGCTCCCAATAGATTACGTAATGACCCGGTATAGTCTTCGTATCTGCGTAGCTCGTGTACTCGATCACCCGTGTTCCTTGGTCTGCAAACAACCTCGATGCATTCTCCACTGCCTTTTGTAGCTCAGCCTCGTCGGTTTTATCGGATTCGATGCTTAACAAAACGTTCTTTCTTCGAATGAATTTGAACTGTGGAGCGGAATTGTGGAACCCCGTGACACGGAGAATGTCACCGACTCTGTAACGGCAAAGTCCCGCATAAGTCGTGATCACGAGTTCATACTCTTTCCCGACCTCAACGTCAGCTAAATCCACGAGTGCGGTTTCTTCTAATGATGCTTGTGCTGCTCCATCTCCATCGTGATTATGTGGGAGGAACTCGAAGTACGCCATGTTGGGCATGATTGTGTAAGAAACCTCAGAGGGTTTACACATTGGCTTTAGGTTAATACCAAAGTAACTTTCGGAGGAAGCATACATCGTGCAAGCCATTGGTAATCCGCCGCTATAGTACTCCAACGTCGGGATATACTGAGCCATCGCTCCAGTAACAATCACATCGAGGTACTTCGTGTTAGGCCATATCTTTGTGATAATCCCTTCCCAGTTCTCTTGTGAACAAACACCAGTCAGAAACTCAGCTAGTTCTTGATCAGGTTTTGTCAATATCTTTGACATGCGACTTTTAATGGCAGGATCAAAGATTCTTGAACTTAAGCTTCCGGTTGAGATATCCCGAGCAAGCTCCTTCCAATTGTTCTGGAGGAAGCTTATGGCACGGAGGAGACCGGAAGCAAAGACAGCACCAAGGCGGAGAACATCTTGGCGCATTAAGAGACCACATAGCATTTGAGCATACATGCTTTGAGACGAGTCAGGGCAGAGGATGACTTCGTTAGGACTAGTGTAGACATTGTACGGGTCGTACGGTCTTCTCTTGAAGTGGTCACTTTTGTAGTAACTCGTGAGAACCGGACGAGCCGGTAACCCACCTGAGGTCTTGGACTCCGACTTCACAAACAAGAAGTATAAGCCTTTGCCTTTGTCTAATCCCGGCACGTAGCTGTATTAAAACATTTTTGGTCAATTTAATAATTTATTATCAAAAGATAAAATCTATATAGAAAAACAAATGTTAGAAGAATATATACTAACAGATTCATGACAGGCATGAGAAGACTGTATAAAAGCTGACGTCGGTCTAAGTCTTCTTCAATTGTTGGCATTAATTTCCTCTCACCAGCAGATGTTCCAGAGCTGCGCATATACAGACAAAATTTACAAACTACGAGTTAGTTATAATTGTTTAAATTTTTTTATTTTTATATTTTGGTATTATGATGTAAATTTCTGATAAAGTTGACCTAATAAATATACCTTGTGAGAAACTCGGTGATGGGGTGAGAAGACAAGATCGGAGAGCGATCACCATTGGATATGCGTTGAATCTCCGGCTTCAAATCTTCATACGTGACCACCGGAACTCTGCTCTTGAACGTTTTACGATCAACGGAGCCGTTGAGACCGAACCGTTTCAGATATTCTGTGTCGGAGTTACGACTTAGTATCTCTCCAAGAACCTTCTCTTGAACGGAGTCAGGGTTTCGAGTCATCTCCTCGATGAACATGAGAGCCTTGACGTCTTTCTCAGAGGTCGTAGGTGAGGACATCCGAGATTGAAGAGGCGAATCAACAGCCATGATTGTGTATCGATGGAATGTTTTTACAAAAAGCAAAGAGAGTGTTTAATATTAGCAAATGCTTTACTCGTTTTGATGATGAGGATAACTCGGCGAAGGGAAGGTTGTATTTATAGAAGGGGAAAGCTCCACGTCAGCGAAGTCCACGTGGACGAGAGTAGTTTTGGTTAGATATTTTGACTTGATCTTTGTTTGTCACAGGGTTGTAGCCGAGACGGGGGACAAAAGGTACAGTGGACAAATAAGCTAATGTCAGTTTACGGAGACATGCGAGACCCACATGTCTCTGCCACGTAAGAGTTTACCGGTGCTGTGGTTTTTTTTTTATTTTGTCTTTTATTGGTCATAGGCGTCGTTCTGGACTTACGTGGCTCAATTTCTTGTGACTCGCTCTTTGTTCGGTCGTCGATAGTGACGGTCAAATACTAATGAGGTTTGCTTATAACGCTAATAACGGAGTGACTTTAAACTAAATCGTCATTACGTTTTTTTTTTCTTCGTCTCTTTAATTAATTAGTAGAATAATATGTAGGTTAGACGATCATGTTGTTGGTTTTGGAGGCAACTTGATAATCTATTAATCTACTGCATATTTAAATTTATGTTAGATATCAAATCGTTTTAACATCACGCTGATTATGATTATGATTATGATTAGTACTATTTTTAGATTGAGTTAACTATTATGTTTAAGTTGACTGTTAGCTACAAGTCTAATACATATACTGGTTCGGTTCACATTGAGCATGTCTCTTTTAAAAAGTTTTAATCAATCTATAGCATATATATAAGTATAATACCATCGTACTTGGTGTTAACATTGTTTAATACTCTAGTACTAATAAATATTACACACATACAACCTCCTAGGACGGATGAGAATCCGGAATTGCAAATCCTATGAAAAGATGTACATATTCACGTGTATAATTTGAAAAGCATAAATAAATTACAATCAACCAAAAACTAATGGTCCGTGAGAGAGAGGGAGAGATAAACATATAGCATAGTCCCAATTAGACTGCTAAGCATATGATTTTATTGTTATATGAGAAGAGGATTATTGTAAAGTGTGAATGTGCTTGTAGATTTTTTAGTTAGCAATATCAATTTCTACAAACTTAAGATTTTTATTAGTCATCTAACTTCAATTTATTACTGATTTGACAAATGTAAGGCTGTTAAGCAACTATTGTCTTACTAGAAATTATGATTTTAAGTGTTCATCGAAGTTAACAGCCAAAATAATACTATATGTAAAATGATGACAACCCAACTCTCATAAATAACAGAGCACCATAAAAGCAAAGAATGGTCTGTATGGACATTTCATTTAGGTTCATGATCGTCGTTCGTGCTGTACCCTCCCCAACTTGCTCCATTTAATTCCAAGGTTTTTGTCTCTCATTTTTCGCGAAAATTTGTTCTTTGTTTTGTATATGGATATTTATGTTTCAACACCAAAAACAAAATTTAACAATGCATATATTATCAGTGATATGTTTAATATTAGTTTCGGTCATGGCGTTGGGTCACTCGACATGTGGGGCTTCAATAAATAGTGTACTAATACTAACAATAATAGTGTGATTAAAAAGCTGAAGGGACCAATAATTATAAATAACTTAACGAAATGAAAAGAAGATGGTCACTATTTTTAGGAAGAGACTAATCGCACGGATAATACATTATCTTTGATTAGACATTTCGAGAACAACTTTTTTCTTCGGAAGAGCAAATTGTTCATTAGAATAGTCACTTCAACCTATCTCACTTAGGATTTCGTTTGACGGCAATATTACAATATATGTTGAATAATAGATATATTAAAATTAAACTATTCAAATGCTCATTTTTTCTTCTTGAAGGTTGATTCTTTACTCACTTAATAATATTCTTGTCCCCTATATATATATTGATCTGATCAGTAATTTAGTATGTACGTAATTTACCTTTAATCGACTCTCACATGATATAAACTTATATAGTAAAAAATAAATACAAAGTATATTATAGAAAGAATAGAATTTTATAAAAATTATTTGTAAAAGAATTATACAATTCCAAACACGAAGATACAAACGGAATTATATAATTTAACCATAAAACAATTAAAACTTAGTCGGTACTACGTAGGTACGTACACGTTAATTTGTTGTCAATAGTCCATAATGTAAAGTCAAAAATATTACATAGTACGTACGCATATTGACAATGGTTAACAAACACCTTGAATTAGACAGGCAACAGTACTGCATGCTATATGATAATATTCTACGATACCATTTTTAAATCCTAAAATTAGTCTGTTAAATTTGACAATGAAAATTTAGAGCTGGCACATATAATTCAAATTATCTGTTTACGGGACGCCATAGTGGAATGAGTGATAATGTCATGACTCATTATCATTGGATTAATTTTTGCTATAACCAACAAATTTTATAGAAAAGAAAATTCAAACAGCCAAAAAATAATATAGTAAGCCCTTTCTATGTGCCTATTAACATATTATTAGATACATAGTTTGTTTTCTTACATATGTTAAAGTTGAGTTCAATTTTCGTCTGAGATATATCCTTGATTATTAGTAACAAATACATCGAATAGCTAAACCGTATTTAATTTTGTACAAAAAAAAAACGAATTTGACCAATTCAAATTCTTTTTCAAAATGACAAAAAGAGGAACACGATTCTATGTTAATGAGAGGGATATCCAAACAAGGCATGGCGTTACACTGCTGATGGCGTATATAATTCTCTTCTTTGGTTTTTCGTTGCTGACGATAATTGAGAAGATATCTTTGGATAATATAGACTTGGGACCCTTTTTGACATCAACCATTCCGCTATACGTATATAATGCATACGACAATTATTGTTTTCTAATTCGATTCTATCAACACTCACAAACAAATTAATATACCGCACGCGAGGTGAGAAGATACCAAACACACCAATTATCTTACAATATTATAACCACAAAGTCCTTTACGTGTTTACGTAAAGCACAGTGATAAGAAGGAGCCAACAATTAGGTAGAACAAGAGAAATACTCAACGAATCTATGTATTATTTCATGCAATTGAGAATGTTTTAAACCAAAACACGACTCTCTATCCTTAGTTTATAAGTTCTACGCCATATTCATAGCTAACTAATAGAAGACTAATCCTGAAATAGTTGATGCATTATGAAAAGATAATTACAATATAGAGTCACATGCATGCACGTCGCCATACTTGGTCCCATTCAATCTATCTATATATGTATACATCTTTACTGCATGCATGTGTACAGATCCCTGTTTAAAGAAGTAGACACACTTTACGTTGATATGTCACTATTATTATCACAATTTAGGAGATATTGATTTGAAATAACTTGAAAAAAAAAAACATAGTGATCGAGCTTTCAATGGGCGAACATACAATGCATTTTAAAAAGGCAAAAGCATGAGTTTTTTCTTCTTCTTTTTATCGAAACAATTGTACATGTTTCGCGATCAAAGATATGGTAAAAGACAAGAGCATAAGTTTATGGGCAAACACTGTCGTTGTTTTATCTTTACAATTGTCCTGTCATTTCTGTTTTCTTTTCCTTTTCTCTCTTACATTTTTGGATTTTGTAAACATTTTCTGTAGAAGTAGAAACAAATTATTTGTTATCTACTCTTTTTCCCCGTGGACTCAATAATCTTATATAATAAGACAAGGTTTCTTCTTAACTTTGCCTCACAATGCGACATGTGTCGCTCTATGCTTTTGACATGTGTCATTTTTATTTATCTATAATATAACATTAATTTTTTTATGATATTGTGTTGTAAGTTATATGTTATATGTATGGTTTGTTTTTTAAAAAAGTGTCATTGTTGCAAAAATATGTTTTTCCTAATTTTAGTTTCTAATTAAATTAAATATCATATAAGCTAAACATAAAATGGAGTTGCTATAATTTTTTATTCAAAGAAAATTGCTATGACTTTTTTTTCCTACTCCTTTAAAAATACATTTTTAAAGTTTTTTTTCCTACTCCTTTAAAGATACATTTTTAAAGTTATTAATATGGGAAATACATTATTTATAACATAATTTCTAATTTTAAAAAGTTAATTTATAAGAGAAGAATTAAAGAGATTATCAAACAAATTTTATTTAATTTTCTATTATCAAACAGTTGAGAAAATAATATAATGAATTTAAATCAAAGAATAACTATCATATTATTCACAAATCATATATATATATATATATATATATATATATATATATATATATATAAGATTTTACCATCTTCATATTGGTCTACTTGGCATGTAACTTTAAAACATATTATATATTTGATTCACACTTTAATATAAAACTGATAAAAACAAAAAAATCACAAAACACATTTAATCATATACATTAAACTCACACTTTAATATAAAAACTGAAATAACATAAATTTGCATGCACTATAGTTTCCATTCAATTTTTTCAATACACAATCAATTATAATTGACTCCCATAATTGTTTTATGAAATTGTAACTCTCATCACTTCTCTTCCTATATATACTCATTTTCTCATTATATCATTCTCTCATTCTCTCATTATATCATTCTCTCATTCTCTCATTCTCTTCTTTATGAAATTTGTTTGCTTTGTTTATTTTTGTTGTATGAGTTTTGAAAAAAAAAAATTATGGGATAAAATTTCAACTGTAGAAACTTTTAGAGACTATATGATATATTGATATACATCTTATGTTATTATAATTTATCTTTTTTTTTTCTTGAAAATTCATCTATAGTTTTC